ATGGCGATGTAGCGCTCTATAGCCATGGCGGCCAGGTTCAGCGGTGTGTTGAGCGTTGTGAACATAGCGCTCATCAATAGAACACAGCAGAAAGAGACATTGATAGTAAACACAATGTAGCTCAACACATGAAGTAGGACTGTTATCATCAGCTGAATCATGTCGCTGAAGACCATGTGAATGAAGAGAATGTACCGAGGGTTTCCGTTGAAGATGTCATGTTTGATGAATGTGTGGATGAGGGTGCCGTTGATGTAGTTGATGGAGATGCACAAACTAACCACTATCACATTCTTAGCCACCGCCGTGCTGAAGCTGTCCCGCAAAATCTTGGGTTGGGTGATGTTACCCACCAGTGACACGTTCATCTTTTAATAACACAACTTTCTGGAAAAAAAAAAAAGAGAGAACATGAAAGGTTAAGCATTGTGCATCAAGATTGTCTATAGAACAATGAAATTCAGTAAATTAACATTAAATGGATCAAAGAGTCAAATAAAGCTCAGATGTTTTTACAGTAATACCTCTGCGGACTTCCCAGCCTGTTATAAAGGAGTCTGACGAAAAGGAGTCTCATTTTATATGTGATGCTCAACTTGGTAATAGCTAGAGGATGGTAACTGCGCATGACTAACCTCATGTGACGTCAGAAGAGACAAAGCAAAATGGCATGACCTCAGGACAAACTTTTGACTTTATAAAGGGACATCTTTGTACCATATTATCTTAAAGCGATAATTCACCCAAAAATGAAAACTATCCCTTTAAAGGAGTAGTTCACTTTAAAAAAAAAAAAAAACATTTGCTGATAATTTACTCACCCCCATGTCATCCAAGATGTCCATGTCTTTCTTTCTTCAGTCGAAAAGAAATTAAGGTTTTTGATGAAAACATTCTAGGATTTTTCACCATATTATGGACTTTATTATATTATATTATTTATATATATTATATTATATTATTTACTATATTATGGATTATGAATATTACTGGTAACCAAACGGTTAACGGTCCAAATGAGAGTTTAAGTGCAAACTGCTCAAAGGGCTTTAAACTATTCCAGACAATGAATAAGGGTCTTATCAAGCGAAACGATTGCTCATTTAAAAACAACAACAACAACAACAACAACAGCAACAACAACAACAAAGTTTAAGTTTCATAAGCTCAAATGCTCGCCTTGCTCTGTTCTGTGATGCGCGTTCGTGACTCTCCTGTTCGAACTTGTTCATCAAAATGAGCGAATCTTTTCCCGAGTCAATTCGTTCATTGAATGAACCAAATGACACGAAAAAATATCTAAAAAATATTTAGATATACAGGAAATTGCAATGGAAGACGATTTTGATATTTGGATCTTCACAGTGAAAGGTAAAACTTCCGAAAACTCTGTGTAAACAATGAGCGATGTACACGCGAGAGAGAAAGAGAGAGAGAGATCACTTCCGGCGCATGGGCAGACCGTAGCGCACATTGGACATGACTGTGGTCACAACTTCAAGTCACGTCCATTACAAGAGGTAAAAACGATATAAATACTGTTCGTTTTCTCACACAAACGTTTTGTGTCTTAGGCCATTGATCAATGTGTACTTCCATTTACGAGTCATTAAATCATGTTTTACTTGGGCTTCTCTGTGCATGCTCTTTGAGGTGGACCCATTTGTGAACCCCATAGATCTGCATATGACTTCCAGACAAGAACGGTTTGGCCTAAGAATATCAAAATTGAAAATACTATGGAAACAAAGACACCTACATCTTGGATGCCCTTGAGGTGAGATAAAACATATCAAAACTTAATTTTAAAGTGAACAATCCATTTAAAGCAAAATGGCATGACCTCAGGACAAACTTTTGACTTTTTAAAGGGGCATCTTTGTACCTTATTATCTTAAGGGTACATATTACTACTCAAATATCAATTTTAGGGCTAAATAAGGTGCAAATTTGTCCTCCTCCAGTGCCAGTAATAAGCTGTTGTACCCCTAAAGCAGGGGTTCTCAACTCCAGTCCTCGCGACCCACTGCTCTGCATATTGTGTATGTCTCCCTTACTTAACACACCTGATTCAGATCCTCAGCTCGTTAAGATAGACTCTACGGCTATCCTAACGAGCTGAGGATCTGAATCAGGTGTGTTAAATAAGAGAGACATACACAATATGCAGAGCAGTGGGTCACGAGGACTGGAGTTGAGAACCCCTGCCCTAAAGGTAACATTTTTGCCTATTTTTCTTCTTCTATGAAGTTCTGTGATTGCACCATTGTGCAAAACACATCTTTCTCCACCTACAGCCATTCAAAACTGTATATTCTGTTACAAGACCAATGTTTGCAAGCAACAGTTAAAATAATAGCGACAATAAGTCTCTAATTATAGAGAATAATGATCACACTCTTTATCAAGGTTTAAAAATGCAATCATCAAATGTCATATTTCATATTTTAAAGTTGTGTTTTGTTTAATGTAGTGATGCGGCATACAAACACATTTTCATCTCAGTGCACTTTAGAGTTTGCAGCCTGTCTGTGCAAATATTGATTTACGCAGGATCTAAACTGACCGCCAATAGGCCTTACTGAACTGATGACTGTATTATACAGATTGAATCAGAATCGAAGAGTATAGGATAACCGAATGATAAAGCTGAAAATATCCTTTGGCCATATGAAACATAATAAAGAAAAAGAACATTTGATGTGGCAAAGAAAGCGCCATGATAAAGATCTTAGAGATCTTTTTTTCCTCAGATCTTTAACATGCATTTTTAACAGTTTAGGGTGTGATATTACACTTGTTTGGGTAAAATATGGACAAACCCAAGTGTTGATTTAAATTAAACATTTTGAAAGGTTAATTTAAACCAACATTTGGGTTTGTCCATATTTGAGCCAAATATAACAACCCAGCATTTTTAGTTTTTAGAGTATAACATCCAGACCAACATGGCATTTGAACCTTTCTCTTATTGGAGTTTTTATAGATAAAAACACCTAACCTCTGGAATAGCAACTATCTATTATCACTACTGGAAAAAAAATGCAACAAAGAACATCCCTGCTAATTATGCATTGTCTTATTAGTTTTGTTTTTATGCATTTTCTTATTTGCCTTCAAAGAAATGTTATGCGCATCAATTCAGCAAATTTGAATGATGAATGATATAAAAATGACTGGATTTATTTCATTTTTGGCTTTGTAGGTTTAGCCAAATCCATGATTGTGATATAGTCTTATCATCAGTTAAATACATATTAGTGAATATCCCAATAAGGCTGTAAAGTTGCATCACTGTGTCATCTTCATATCACACGGCTGTTAAAAAAACAAACACGCAATTAACTCAAGCCTTTCTGGAAACCTGCGCCCTTTCCCTCAGCAAGTGTTTGTGATCCTAAAACAGCCGATCATTCACAGAAGGGAGCATTATTGGGATAACAAGACATTTGCCCTTTCAGCATCTGATCTGCAGTGTGTTTGGGGTAATTAACGCTTCCACCGAGACTAGCAGGAATCTTTGACATTTCACCACCTCCACTGAGTCTAGTCTGAGCCTGAGCGACGCCCTTGAGACCCGCAAGCAGAAGGTCAACGCAGTCAGGAACACTTGTTGTTCTGAAGCTTGTATTCCTGGGAGTGATTAGCACGTCTATGGGGAGATGCAGAAAAGATCATGGAACATAATAAGAGAGATTGTTTTAGATGTTTAAAGGTCTGTTGGCATCAAGAGAGATCCTGTTTTGAGATGTTAATGCAAAGGCTTTGATGTAAATGTTGATCAATCAGCAAGTCTGAAAAAAATTGAGTATGCATGTCATATCCAAGTAATAATATCCTTTATCGTATTTAATACTCAGTGTCAAACATTGTGACAATAAATCCACACTTAAAACACTTTAATGCTACATAACATGTCAAAACAAGTGACATTTATTTTATAACACAAGTTTACACTGTAAAACTGAATACGACTGAATATGTTAAATCTAATCAATAAAATTGAGGCAACAGATTACAATCAATATTATTAATTAAATTGAACAAATTAGTAACCAAATGAATTACTTAAAAGTTAACCATTTAAAATGAATAAAATGTACACATTTTTCAAAGATGAATTGAGATCTCATTTTTTTATTGCCATCATTGAAGACATCTGATCTTAACAAGCAGAATCACTGAAGGAGAAAAACGTCATTTTTTAGTCACCATTAAGATGAGTTTGTATTTTAGTTGGGCTCTTGACCCTTAAATCGCTAACTTGAGATATTGTTTGGCTGTTATACGTGAATTATAACAACCAGATGAACAAATAGAAAAGGTGGTCTGATGGTGTTGGTTATGTTTTAACATAATCATTATTTCACAAACATTTGACCTGAATCACTGAATTCTACTTATTTTAAATGGTTAACTTTTAAGTAATTAATTTGGTTTATTATTACTCAATTCTAATTTGTTAAATTTAATTAATAATTTAATGATTATTAGATTTTATTGATTAGATTTAACATATTCAGTCGAATACGGTAGATAGAAATAAATAAAAATAGTGGTCCTGTGTTTGTAAAGTTTCAATATATATGTGAAATTGGTTTGATTTAGTTGCTTCTACATTTGACATCTTTTGATATCCCGATATAGCCAAGGTATTATATTTAACATACAGCAATTCATCCTGGGCGTCATATAGTGACACTTGAAATTTCGTCTAAATCCAACGCACATGGCACCCTTTAGCGTCAATATAACACAAACAGAGCTTTGTTGGTTTAGGGTAGTGTTAGAGTTAGACCACTAGGAGGCGCCTTCTGGCCCATATATATCTGCGTCTCATATTGACGCTAAAGGGTGCCATGTGCATTGGATGTAGACGCAGTGTCAAAATCGTCAGTATACAACGCCTCGGGCTGATCAATTAAGTTATGAAACTTGTTCTTTTTTAAGACATCTTTACACCTTTTTTATTCTCCCAATGTGAAAGAATACAGACACAGTTTGATTGTTTTAAAAAAAGAGTGTTATTAGGAAATATCCAAAAACATACAAGAATTCACATATAAGAGCCTTATAATGGGGCCTTTTTGCAACATAAAAACCTGAGGCCAGAGTACTCTGAGGTATCTTAACTGGATTCTGTATGAGTAAATTACATTTCAATAATTAAAAAAAACTGCAATCTTAAGGGGCACTTGTACACACTACCCTGTTTACATAAATCTCATTTTAGTGTTAATAAACCATTCAGGTCATTCTTGAGTCAAAACATCAGTTTGCAGTCCAGTTAAACAATTAACAAATATCAGACATGTTCCTCTATTTCAAATATTCAGACACAACATTGATGAGAAACAGCTTTGGTAATATGGAGTGAGTGCCTCATTTGGCTCATTGTGTCTCTAACAGTGTCATTTGTAACTATTTGTTTTTTTTTTGGTAATATACATGTGCATAAACGGAAGGTTTTATAGATCCCCACAAATTTGGTGCCGATAAAAATCAGATTCAAACATGATAATAATGACTATCTCAGAGTGGTACCAAACACTTCATTTCCCTTTTTAGTGTATAAATGCGAATATCAAATTTGCCATAAATACGAACCTCTGTATAAACCATACAATACAGATCATGTATAAATAGGGAACAACATTAGCCATGTCCAAACACGGCAGCAGAATGATTTGGCCTCATGCCTCGGACATCTACACCTGTAGATCTTTTGATTGTAGGGCCCTTGACCCCCAGCGGGCCTCTTCCTCCTCCATACGGTTGTGTGACGTGCTCTTTCATTTTCTTGTGAGCAACTGGTTCTCCAGCACTTCCAATCGCTTGGTCATAGCTGACAGTGACATACAGTTAAGGAAATAAATGATCATACAATCATCAAGCATCTTACCTTTCAGCATTTCTGGCTGTTAAAGGCATTACTCTTTTTTTTTTACATTTTCTTAAGACGATGTGAGAGATGTTTGCCAGTGCAAAAACTTGCTGATACAAGTCTAATGTGTTCTAGGTGGTTTCAAATCACTTGTTTGCACATCCTGGGTTATTTTTTAGGGGTTCCTTAGAAGCACAGTCAGTTAAATTCATTTTAATACAGATATTGTGTCCATGCCCAACCATTGTTCATGATTTGCCACATTAATGTCCACAATCATCTTGTTAGGTGGTGGCACATTATCACTGAAGTAGCCATTAAGGTGAGCCATTAATGTCAATTGCTCCGACAAGATTCGCCGAACGCGGTGCATTTAAAGCATTAGCCACCTACTGAGTACTCTCACTATCGTTCATATCCATTACAAAACAGGGATGCATATTGACGAAAAATTTAAATAAAAGCTCGAAAATGACTTTTCGTGTTTTCAGAGGGTGGATGCTTCAATGATACCACAATGCACCACCATTGTGGTCTCATCACCCAGTCTGTTCTCACGTAAATGCATCTCTATAACACACATTTGGTATTGTCGTGCAATTTATATGCGAAAATGAGTTTTTACGTGCATAATTATACGCAGTTTCCATGTGCATTTGATACGCAGTTCATTTGCGTGTAATGCTGCGTTCCAGGCAGGTTTTTGAGCACGTAAGTCACGACTTCAAACCACGACTTTGTAGCATTCCGGGTCATTCACGCCAAACTACCTAGATGTAAACAAACCAGCATGGCGGACCTTACGGGGCTCACGCGCATTTGTAATAATTTCTAACGCCAAAGGTGCTTCCTCCTTGTTTATTTGTGGGAAACTGAGGAGGAAAAATAGCGCATGAGGCAAGATAAGCTGTTATACCTTTTATTTGACTTTATTTGGAAATGTATTTGGTATTAATTTATCCTTGCACTCAATGGACTGAAAACTAGCTTGGATCATTGGTTCACAAAGTTGGAATGTTGCGAGAAGAAAGTAGAGAAAAACTGCAGTTATTAATGATTTAGGAAGGTACACCTCTCAGAAAACATACAAATATAGATACTTTTAGATGCTTAATTGCTATTTGGAGGATTGGGATCACTAGACGAGGGTTTAATGAACTAATTTTTGTGAAAACCTAAACCTAAATTGACATTTTTCACTTGTTTTGCCTGTAGCTCTTAATCAGCCCATGTGCACACTCTGATTATGCACATTTGCTTCTGTTGAAGCCATCAGTCTGCATTATTTTCTAAATAATCCTGCTTAACAGATACATTTGTCGTGAAAAACTGCATTACCCATGATGCTGTACAGAAAACACCACCAATCACAGCGTCACAAGAAGCAAAACGCGCCTATGAGCTCTTTAGCTCCACCAACTCCCAGGTAGTCACTATTTTTTGTCAGATTTTATAATACTTTATTGCTTCAAATGAAAGTTTGTGATGTTATGATTCACCTCATAACTGATTGGCTTGGTTCATGTCCTATAACGCTTTAACAAAGACACTTTTTTTTTAAACCTAAAGGAGAAATAAATAGAAAAAATGCGGTGTTCAGTGGCATTTTGGCCTCACTGCCACTTTAATTTATAGATGCATTAGAGAGAAAAGACAGATGCTGAGAAGATGTGGGAATTAGATTGGGAACTGTATCACTTGAGAGCAACAAAGCTCAAAGTATCAAAGCATGCATGAAAACCACTTCTTCATCAAACTGTGAAGGACATCTATCAGCAATATCTAGCTGTGATGAGAGCCGTGAAGCATCATCCTTCCTTAGTAATCTCAGCAAATTCCAGTTAAATGGATCCAGCGGAGACGTGCATCTGCATCTAGTAGTGGAGAAACATCTGTTTCTGGCCTCAGACACGGACAAGGGCTCTTTTGAGCTTGGATAAATGATGCTGAGTGAGAGATCTGAAACAAAGAGCCATTGAAGCGTGTGGTCACAGAGGTTTAAGTCAGGAGCCAAAGCAGTCTGGAACAGATCAGACACAATCTAGACTCTCTCCGCTGTTAAAGGAGCATTTCACCCATTTCAACATTAATCTTTATTGAAAGTGGGTCGAAATGTAAAAGAAATTTTGAATTTGGTGCCCTCTTGACTGAGAAAAGACTAACTTTAGGGCGCATTTGTATGTAAGACCACAACTCCCACAATGCACCAATTCAGAGAAAACATCAGAGAGATCACTCTTCCGTCTACAAGGCTGATCTGATAATCAACTCGGAAGGTCAATAAATCTTATCTCATGTAGTGAAAGCAAAACAAGCTTGAATGATAGTTAGAAAAGTAAATGTTTTGCTTTTGCATTTGTATGCAAGACAACAACTCCCACAATGCACCACATTGCTCCGCGAGCCACTCCCACTAATCCAGAACAGCACAAACATCAGAGGCAGAACGTTAGCTGCCACCAGAGTTTAAAATTCATTTCACACAAAATTTCTAGTTAGTTGGTAAACTCATTAGTGAATTACTCCTAGTTTGTATTTCTTTCTATATGGTGTCAGAACATATGCGGTGCGACACTAGGATAGTTCACATCATAACACAAACGTCCGTGTGCTCGTCTGATTCAGAGTTTTCCTCCAGGAGAAATTGCCATCGTTCATATTCGCTGCAGCAGACGGACTCGATCTATTGGTGCGTTCTATTATAGCCAACGAACCGACTCGGACCTCGGATTTGACGTCACGTCCACACTTCAAGCGTTCTATTTGTTTTGCGCGTCCGAGTCGGACAAAAAAATGGACGCCATGCGGAAACCTGTTATAATGGTAGCACTGGCCGAGTACCTGGTACTTACATGTAAAAAAAATTATTATGACTACACCTTATTAAAACACAGCCATTTGAACTTGAAAATGTTCACTTTATTAATGTTTTTCATGTTAATCTTCTGTTAGCAACGCTAGCAACGTCAGTAATTGCACTCACAACAACCGATTCCCATACCTACAGGGGACGCAGTAATACGAGTGATTATAATCGTCATTTAAAATACCAAAGCGCTTCAAAAACAATGAAAACAATTCATTCTTACAAGTCACAGGGTGCAGCCATCTTGAATTCCGAAACGGAATTCTTGCTCGGTGTCCTCGCGGTTGTCCGACGTCCGAGAGGAGAAATCCGAGTAAATAGGGCGTGTTGCTAGCAGTGGTGGAATGTAACGAAGTACAAATACTTTAGAAGCTTTAGAATAAACACACATTCATAGAGATGGCTTTTCACATTTTGTTCTGGCATCTAATAGGAAATATGTGACCCTGGATCACAAAACCCGACATAAATAGCACGGGTATATTAGTGGCAATAGCCAGCAACACATTGTAAGGGTCAAAATTATCTTTCTTTTATGGCAAAAATCATTAGGACATCAAGTAAAGATCATGTTCCATGAAAATATTTAGTACATTTCCTACCATAAATATATAAAACATTTAGTTTTCTGAGTGAATGCAGCACAATCACAAACATAATTGACAACTTTAAAGGCCATTTTTTCAATGTTTCGATTTTTTTTTTGCACCCTTAGCCCATAAGAACCCGCTGTGACGTGGGTGTCACAAACACTGGAGATCATCTGAAAAGTTTTTTAAAGCATTATACCTCACTTTCAACCCAGGAAGTCTTTAAGGGACATTAAGGAACACCCAGGTTCAGTCATGTGACAATGTGTGCATCTTTGTTGCCATAGTAACATTTTCAAAATCTCTCTGTAGGCAAGGGCGTGGTTAGCTGGTGCCTGCTTACATCACAGGGCACCACGACTTCCAATAGGAAAATTCAACTGCAGTAGCCACCATTCATCCTGAAGAGGGCAGCACTCAGACGCTTTTTACACCATATATTGTAGAATTAAAACACTTTATACCCAAATGTCCAAATTCAATGACAGCAATAATAAAGCCCCAGTCTTACAGATCATTAACTAAAAAAAAGTTGGTTTAGGGTTTACCCTTTAATGAAATGTATTTTGAAAATATTTTGCATACCTGTAACTAAAGCAGGTATGCAATATATTGTATAAAACACCATATTTATTTTTATTCAGTTTGCTCATTTTCGAGTTGTGAAAAACAATCTAAAAAAATATTTCTGATTAAACTGTATACCTGAAAAGGTCACATATAAGTGGTTTTGAAATATGTGGCAAAGCAAATAAAATGCAAAAACTATTACTTCTGAAAACATTTTTTTTAATCTTCCCAGAAAAGTTATAATTTTGAAAATGTTGTGGAAAAGAAAATATACAAAAAAAAGTATTTAGCAATAAAATTATTTTCCAAATGAGAAATAAAAGCCCAATGACATATATTTAAAAGATAAAATATCATAAATGCCCAATGTGACATATATGACACATTACAGATCTTTGACAAGGAGTGGTTGTATTTAAAAAAAAAACAGCAGCAGAAACATGTTTAAGTGGTCCATTTAGTCTGTTTTATATGCCCCATAATTTTCCTATAAGGGGAAATTGGTCTGGGTTCTTATGGGCTATTCCAGATCTCGGCCAAATACTGTCCTATCCTACGAAACCCTAACCCTAACCCATTCATCAATGAAAGCGTATTTCAGGTGATATATACATCTCAATTTCCAGAAATGTTCCCATGGTTTTGTAGTCAAGGGTCACATATATAGTCAAACTTGTATTTAGTACACTGTAAAAATTATTTTCAAGATTTGTTATCACAACATATTTTCTTTTGTCAAATGAACTTTATAATAATTTATTTAGTTGAGATAACTTATTATTTTGAGTTTCTGATGATTAAATTAACTCACTTTTTCCAGTTCAATCAACTTAAAATTTTAAGGCAACCCAGGTTTACTTACTTTTTTAAGTTAAACCAACAATATTTTTTTACAGTATATAGTATTAAACAAAAGACTACATGAATGGATGACGCTTAGAAAATAACAAATCAATTCCAATGTGTTATGGCCTACAAAAAGTTCCTCCATTTTACTAATTTAAATAATGGAACTGCAGTGGTGGAATGTAACGAAGTACAAATACTTTGTTACTTTACTTAAGTACATTTTTCACGTATCTTTACTTTACTTAAGTACAATAAATAGTGCATACTTTTTACTTTTACTTCGTTACATTTTGCAGCAATTATTATACTTTCTACTCCACTACATTTCTACAACTTCTGTTACATTTTCGTTACATTTTCTGATCAGTTTTTCCCCTGCCAAAACGTAATCTGACCGTCTTGTCTCACCAGTGACGTTTGGTTGCCATAGATACAGTATCAACCCGATCACACTAAATGTGTCTCGCTCGCAGTGTGTTTATCGTGCAACTCATACGCGAAAATTTGTTTTTACGTGCATAGGAAACACACCGTGTGTAATATATGTTTGGTTTGGTTAGGATTATGGCAAGCCAAGAGGTTCAGAATTACACCATAAATTAATCTCGTTTACTGCCAAACATTAACATATAGTAAGGATAGCATGATGTGTATATTTCCTAATTGCAAGCTTGTTTCAGAAATGGTGACATTTTTATCCATCATTATTGAACATCATTATAGGAGTAGGCTATTAGGTTGAATGAGTTAGAATTAAATGTTTTATTAATCATTAGAAAATAGACATTAAGATAATAAATTGTTATGCAAGTACTTTTACTTTTAATACTTAAAGTACATTTAAAATAAAGTACTTTTTACTTTTTACTTAAGTATGGTTGTCATTGTGTTACTTCTACTTTTACTAAAGTAAATATTTATCTGGGTATTTGTACTTTTACTTAAGTACTGAGATTCAGTACTTCCTCCACCACTGGTTGCTAGGCAACGTCTGTCGTCCGATTCGGATCTCCGAGACGGATGAATAATAGAACGCACCATGTGATAGCCACGGACATCGGATTTTCAAAATCCTCTTTCATATCATGTTTAGTTTCTTCCGTCATTGTCGTTACTTCCTATCTCCACAGCGCTTGTTAGCTTAGCTTCCAAACAAGATGGCGGATATCGATTCAGTATCTGCAAGTGAAGTCCCACCCATTGATCTGTAACAGGCCGTGAGTGGGTCCCACACCCTGGATAAATGATGAGCTAGTGTTTGTAGTCTCAACCCTTATACAAAGAAGTGGGACTTCCTGCTTTTTATGACGCAAAATGACGATTTTTACGTCATAAAAAGCAGAAAGTGGAACACTTAAATCTTTATTCCTCCCATCTCAGCGGAAAATAAGGGAATAAACCATGACCACTCAAAAATATGACTGGGTTTCTAAAGATACAAAGCTTAATGTACATGGGTGAAGTGTCCCTTTAAACACTTTAGCTGGTTGTAATAATGCGTAAATCCACTAGTTATACACTAGCGTTCAAAAGTTTGGTGTCTGCAAAAATTGGAATATTATTACAGTACATTTAAAATGACCGTTTTCTATTTTAATACTGTATATTTGAAAATGTGATTTACTCCTGTGATGATCAAAGCTGAATTTTCAGCGTCATTACCTTCAGAAATCATTCTTATGGTTGGGGATTTTTCAAAATAGTAGTAATGATGCTGGTCTTAATAAACAAACAGCACTAATGAGCAAAACAGTGGAGTTGCATGTGCTGAAAAGAAAGCATATTTGTAATAAATATATAAAGGATATGTTTCTGGGTGAGCTGGTCTAGGGTGGACATCGTAACCTGTTGGAACTCCACAAGACTTTCACAGGCGCAGGGGTTCTTCACCTCGATCTCTCCTTGACTCTCAGCTGAAAAATAAGAGAAGTGAGAATGAAATAATCAATCTTGATTGTGAATTTCCCTCAAATTTGCATGTGCATGACGGAAATGCTTTTTATAATGAATATACAGTATGTATAGGATACTCACTGGCACCTTCTTAGGTAAAGAATGTATGCATGTGTGTACTGTATATCAGGCTCTAGATGGTGCTAAAGAACAGCATCTAATACAGATCTATGTGTGTGTTTCACACGCACCTGCGCAGACATTGAGTTTGAGGTTCTCAGCGATCTGGCTGATGGCAGTGAAGTCGGCGCTGTAGAAGAAGTGTTTTTCCACGGGCTCAGAGGCAATCTCTCTCAGCTCATCCTCCACTGCTTTACCCACACCAACAGCATACATGGTGATGCCTGAAACACACAAACACACACATCCAATGTTCCAACGGACAGACCTTTCATGGAATGATTAAAAAAGGTATAAATTAAGCAAACGAAAGTATCTAATTTGTTATTTTTCAATAAAATAGTAAGTGAGAAGATGCTTATGCTTTAAGCTTAAGCCTTTTTGACTGTACATTTTTGTCAAAATGTACATCTTTATACATTAAAATATTCACAATTGTTTTTGACAATTAGAGACATATCTGATCAAATTAAAAAATAATCTATCTTTCAATTTGTCCTAGATGTACATAATCTAAAATATTTCAAAATATATAAATGAATTTAATATTTACAAAAAAACCTAAACCTAAAAAACTAGACGAAATGTGACTTTTTTTCAAGTTTGATCAAAAAAAAAATATATATATATATATTAAATATTTATCTAATTTGTTATAATCTGTTCTAGAAATAAATAAAAATATAAAAATAAATAAAAATATAAAACATTTATAAGTATATAAATGATTATAAAATTTACAACAACAAAACAAAATGTTAGCTTGACTAGACTAGAATGTGTTTTTTTTTTCGATTTTGATAAAGAAAACAAATAAATATTTAATATAAAAGATAAATTATTTAACTACAATTAGTGTACAAAAAATATTCTAAAGTGTTTTTATCATTTCTGTGACTGAACACTTTTGTCCTTAATTAATAATACCTGCTTCCTTGGCCTTCTTGGCCCACTCTTGAATGTCATCCTGTGAACGGCCATCCGTAAAGACCAGGCCGACCCGTGGGATGTTCTTCCCAGCGGGACGGGCTCCTTCAGCCTCGGTGAAGCTGTTCTCCACCATGTGTTTGAGAGCCAAGCCTGTCATGGTTCCCTTCTCCATGTATTCCACATTCATCACAGCCTTTTTGATCTCTTCTTTTGTCTGATACATGCCGAGCGTGAACTCTGTCCGCACTCGGCTTGAGTACTGGACGAGACCCACGCGTGTTCCTTTCGGGGAGACGTCCAGCTGATCCACCACCTGGTTGACAAACTGCTTGACAAGCTCGAAATTCTGTGGCCGCACACTCTTGGAACCATCGATGAGGAGGACTAGGTCGATGTTGGAGGATCGACAGGCTTGAAGAGGGCAGAAGAGACAAAACATGTATTTCTGAACTGTGACACATATTTTTAATGCTAAGCAGAGAAAGTGGAACTTTTTTAGATTTCTAGGTGCCTTAAAGTGTCTTTATTGTGTAAAATAGAACTGCAAAAATAATTTTTCATATTCTACCAGGTGCTTCTCAATGGAAGCTTGTTTCCGCCACTGAATAAAATGAATAAAAAATAAATGCGACTTTTTATCTCACAATTGCAAGATATGAAGTCAGAATTGAGAGAAATAAAGCCGCAATTGCAAGATATAAAGTCAGAATTGCGTTATAAAGTCAGAATTACGAGATATAAAGTCAGAATTGCATGATATAAAGTTGCAATTGGGTGTTATAAAGCCAGAATTGCAAGATACAAAGTCAAAATTGCGTGATATAAAGTTACAATCAGAATTGCGAGATATAGTCAGAATTGCGTGAGTGTCTATCTCACAATTCAGACTTTTTTGTGAGTTGCTCACAATTGCGAGTTTACATCTTGCAATTCTGACTATAACACATAATTGCGAGTTTTTTTGTCAAAATTCTGACATCGTTTCTCAGAATTGTGAGATATAAAATCACAATTGTGAGTTATCGGGCCAATTCTAAGGGAAAAAAAGACTAACTTCCCCTCGAATAGTTTATATCTCACAATTCTGACTTTATAACACACAATTGCAACTTTATATCACGCATTTGCGACTTTAAATCACGCAATTCTGACTATATCTCACAATTCTGACTTTATAACACACAATTGCAACTTTATATCAAGCAATTGTGACTTTATATCTCGCAATTCTGACTTTATAACACAATTGCGACTTGATATCATGCAATTCTGACTTTATATCACACAATTCTGACTTCATAACACGCAATTGCGACTTTATATCACACAATTCTGACTTTATATCACACAATTCTGACTTCATAACACGCAATTCTGAGAAATATAGTCAGAACTGAGATAAAAAAAATTGCAATTACCTTTTTTATTTTTCATTGTGTAGCGGAAACAAGCTTCCATACTTCTCTGTGCAAAACTCATTGGCGAAATGTGCAAAGTTTAATATTTAGCCTCGGTTTAGAAACAAATACGTTGGTTTTCATAAAAGTATGAGCAATAGTAATACTAAGCTTACTTAATTAAAGTGATCTCTGAAAATTAAACTGAGATAAAAGAAAGTGTTTCAACACTGAAAAAATTACATACTTCACCTTTAACAACAAAGCATGCAGTTCTTGCAGACACCAAGCTATACATCGCAAATAGGCTTTAGGAATTCAGCTTTAGGCATTTTCCCTTTTAAACTAATGTTTAGGACAACCTCATCTGTAATAAAGGTTGTCCGAATGAAAGCGCGCCTTACATCCGCAGGTCTTGCCGTCGTCCTGAAGCTCATGGCCCTCGGGACATATGCAGTGGTATGATCCGGGAGTGCTCACACACTGGTGTTCGCAACCATGTTCGACTGTGTTGCATAAGTTATCCGCTGCAGAAGACATAACAATGAAGAGCGCGTCTTAAACCACATCGAAATCATTGAGGGTCAGTAAGAATGAATACTTTTCTTCAGCAAGGATGCATTAAATTGATCAACAAATACATTAATATTAAGCAGCACAACTGTTTTCAACATTGATAATAATAAGGAATGTTTCTTGAGCAGAAAAATCAGCATATTAGAATGATTTCTGAAGGATCATGTGACATTGAAGAGTGAATGCATATTTAACTCATAAATGCATACATGCATCATTTTAAGAAATGTTTTTGACAATTTTTCAAAATGGAAAACAATAAAAATACAACATTGTTAGCAGACAGAGAGGAAATCTGGTGAAAAGATGACCGGACTCTTTAAAGCAAATGTCCAGAGCTTTTAGGTAAACTTAAAAAGTGATAAACGACACACTTGATATTTTTTGGCCTTTCCAGCTGTTCAAGGCCAAGGTCTGGGAAGGCCATCAGGCTTAAAGAGGGGGCGCTTCACTTCCTTGCCAGCTGATTTTGAACACTTTTAAAGCTAACCATACAGTGTTGAGCAATTTGAGCCCAATTTGGGAACAGATTTTATTTATGAGGTGGATAAATCAGATAATCAACTCGGAAGGTCAATAAATCTTATCTCACATGTCATGAAAGCAAAAAAAGCTTGAATGATAGTTAGAAAAGTAAATGTTTTGCTTTAGCATGCTGTTGTTGTAACCAATAAAATATAGACATTAATATGTCCTAAGACCTACTAGAACTATTATGTTTCGCAACTGTTTTGAGAAAAACCTACTAACAGCTGTTTATGTGCATTACACTGGGAAAAGAGAAACTATATTAATTTCCAAAACTTCTTTAAGGGGAGATTTATGCTCTTTTTCATACTTGAATGTTCAAATTACACATTAGTTTTCGCATATTTTACATTGTTGCAGCACCACTCTTCCCAGTCAGTCAGTAACGCATTTCAGTCAGGACCACTATCGTCAATACGATTGACAGGTAGCAAAGTCAACTAAAGAAAAAAAGAACATGAAAAAGGGATAATGGGACCCCTATAATCCACTTTAATGCAGTCAAAATAACAGGATCGGTGCGGTGCTTGATACGTACACAGGCAGGTCTTTCCGTTCTCCTGAAGAGTGTATCCCTCATTGCAGCGACAGTAAAAACCATTGAGCACACCACCACAGTGATGATCACAACTGTGATTCCCAAATGAACAGTAATCGATCACTAAGAGATAAAAACAAAGGAAATAGTGTTTTAGTGAGCAAAATATACACTAAATTGGAAATGACTTGAGGGGTCTGATCATAATGCAAGCATTTCCCCCCTTAAGAATAAGATTTATACTTAAATGGGGTATCTCCTTAAAATCTGTCATGCAAAACGAACTACCATCAAAAGTCAATTGCTTCAAAAAGGTATTAAATATTATATTTTAATGATTCGGAAAAGGTAAAATTTAAAAATCATTATTAGAACGAAATATTTTATGAATAGCAACCCCTGTTGTGACCAAAAAAACAAAACATGCAAGATCATGAGGTAGCTGTCCATTATTATGGCAAAAAAAAAAAAAAAAAAACGATTTAAGAAGCCTGTTGCCAGGTTAAGCAGAGCAAGCATGCATGATTAGCATTGAGTTAGTTTTGTGTGCATAGATCTGGAACAGTGATCGTGTGGACTATCACTAACTTGTGCAGGTCTTCTTGTCATCATTGAGAGTGTATCCGTCCTTACAACGGCAGTTAAAGCCTTTGAGGACACTCACACACTCATGCTCGCAGCTATCATTCCCAAATGAGCAGTAATCGATCACTGGAACAGGAAGAGGATGGCAAGAAACACACTTTACAAAAGCAGAGAACACTGCAAGCAATACACAAGTTGTATGCACAGATAAGCACCCATAAGTTACTGTTTTAAGTTGTTGTTAAAGACTTTTAACATTTAAAGCTCAAATGCCGGTCTCACAGACTAGGCTTAAGTTAGTCCCAGACTAAAATGGATGTATCAACTGTTTTAACTGAAAGCAAATTTGCACTGATATATCTTAAAATATGTCAGTGTCATTGTAGATGCACATCTAGCTACTTAAATGTCCTAATTTAACTATGGCCTACTCCTTATCCGAGCCCTGGTTGTTTTGTTGTCCTTGCAATGTTTTATTGATTGATTGATTGTTTTTTGTCCTTGCTGTAAATTCTTGTTTTGGTACTGGTTGATTTTTTACCAGCAAACCCTGTGGAAGCCAATTGCTGCCTCATAAAAATAATAATAATAATAATAATAAATAATAACTTTGTGACTTGACTTTTTACAATTGCAACTTCTGTTCAAAAAACAGGAATACTGAGAAATAATATTACAATTTAAAACAAAATTTCAGTTTGAATATATTTTAAAATGTAATTTATTCCTATGATGATAAAGCCTCATATATTTGTGGAAATAGAGATTTTTTTATTTTTTTTTTACAAAAACTGTCATATTTCATCAATTAAGTACATATTTACTGAATAAAAGTGCTAATATCTTTCAAAAAAATATTTGAATGGTAGTGAATATCTCATTTTATTTCTAATTAATAGTATGCATGTATGATATGTTGCCCTCACTAACTTGTGCAGGTCTTCTTGTCATCGTTGAGTGAGTATCCATCGTTACAAATGCAGTGAAAGCCTTTGAGGACACTCACACACTCGTGCTCGCAGCTATCATTCCCAAATGAGCAGTAATCGATCACTGGAACGGGCAGAAAGAAGCAGAGAAGCTCAAAATCTGGAGTAAGACGAGCAGCCAAAGTAGTTGGCAAAGAGCAAAATGTTTTGTAAGAGGAAGAAGCATAGAAAGGAAACTTGAAAAAAATGTTATTACATTTATTTTTCCTACTGAGATGTGCTTGTTTTATGGATTTGGAGTTAAGCATGGACTTACGGGAATCATATTATGAAGTATTTTGGTTTTGTACTGTCATACTGGGCTGTGTGTGTGTGTGTGTGTGTGTGTGTGTGTGGATTTGAATAATGTGGCCTTCACTAACTTGTGCAGGTCTTCTTGTCATCGTTGAGTGAGTATCCATCGTTACAAATGCAGTGAAAGCCTTTGAGGACACTCACACACTCGTGCTCGCAGCTATCATTCCCAAATGAGCAGTAATCGATCACTAAATATGGATTAGATAGATTTAGGGAAATTACCAAACAGGATAAACATTTCTCTATTAATTAAACAAAATTTACGCAGTTCCTTAAATAAATCATGATTAGACTATAACAGCTCTTTTTGTGATCAAGTCTGTTGGAGTTAAATTTGGAAACCCTTGCTTAAACATTGGAAACACTTCATGGATGGCCCAAATATTAATGCTAAAAAACGGAGAGGAAATTAAAACGAGTGAATGTATAAATGTACTGTGAGCCTTCACTAACTTGTGCAGGTCTTCTTGTCATCGTTGAGTGAGTATCCATCATTACAGCGGCAGTGAAAGCCTTTGAGGACACTCACACACTCATGCTCGCAGCTATCATTCCCAAATGAGCAGTAATCGATCACTAAATATGGATTAGATGGATTAAAATTCAATTATATTCGAATTAATCTCATATATTACTTGTGATTTACAGTGTTTAAATGCTTTTAAGTTAAGTTTCCTTCAAATTGTTTCTTAAGTGTCTACCAATGATCTTGATTTGGTCATCACATGCTCACATTGGGGACTTTTATATACTGTTTTTTGGGGGGTGAAACAGAAGGACAGTGTTTTGGAGAGCTAAATTTACCTGCTAAACATCTAAAATCCCTCACAGAAGCTGTAAGTTCTTTGAGAAAGAACAGAGTGCAGTGAGAGGAAGCATATTAGACCATTAAACCACATCTGTTGGTGTTCAATTTTATGGAAGCTTGTTTCCGCCACTGAATAAAAAAATAAAATAAATAATTGCGACTTTTTATCTCACAATTCTGACTTTTTTTCTCACAATTGCGAGATAAAAAGTCTGAATTGCGTGATATAAAGTCGCAATTGCGAGTTATAAAGTCAGAATTGCGAGATATAAAGTCAGAATTGCGTGATATAAAGTCGCAATTGCGAGATAAAAAGTCAGAATTGCGAGATATAAAGTCGCAATTGCGAGATATAAAGTCGCAATTGCGAGATATAAAGTCAGAATTGCGAGATAAAAAGTCAGAATTGCGAGATATAAAGTCGCAAAGCGAGTTATAAAGTCAGAATTGCGTGATATAAAGTCACAATTGCGAGTTATAAAGTCAGAATTGCATGATATAAAGTCAGAATTGTGAGATATAAAGTCGCAAAGCGAGTTATAAAGTCAGAATTGCGTGATATAAAGTCGCAATTGCGAGTTATAAAGTCAGAATTGCATGATATAAAGTCAGAATTGTGAGATTTAAAAAAATTGGCCTAATAAGTCGCAATTGCGACTTTATATCTCACAATTCTGAGAAAAGATGTCAGAATTTCGACATATAAACTCGCAATTATATGTTATAAAGTCAGAATTGCGAGATGTAAACTCGCAATTGTGAGATAAAAAGTCACGCTTCTGTCTTTTTTTCTCAGAATTGCGACTTTATATCACACAATTCTGACTTTATATCTCGCAATTCTGACTTTATATCTCGCAATTCTGACTTTATAACACACAATTCTGACTTTATAACTCGCAATTGCGACTTTATATCACGCAATTCTGAGAAATAAAGTCAGAATTGTGAGATATAAACTCGCAATTGTGAGAAAAAAAGTCAAAATTGTGAGAAAAAAAGTCAGAATTGTAAGATAAAAAGTCACAATTCTTTATTATATTTTTTATTCAATGGCGGAAACAAGCTTCCAATTTAGCGATGGGTTGCCCCAATACTAATAGTAGACAATTAAGAAAAATAGAAGGAAAACAGATTTTGAAGGAATTCCGTTGATTCCATGAATTTAAAAACTGATGATGGCCTTCACTAACTTGCACAAGTCTTCATGTCATCGTTGAGTGAGTATCCATCGTTACAATGGCAGTGAAAGCCGTTGAGGACACTCACACACTCGTGCTCGCAGCTATCATTCCCAAATGAGCAGTAATCGATCACTGGAACGGGCAGAGAAGAGTTAGAAAGCTTTTGGCAAAGCAGGAAGAGCAAATAAACCACATCAAAGTACATACACGCTGTGTTTCAGAATAGTTAAGCTGCAAAAACGATGAGAATAACTAGCTTCAGAGATAGCTTAGCATTTAAAACAGTTAAGCTTTCCCAGTAACAAGCTACTTTTGCCTACAATTTGTTTACAAATTTTGTTCCAGTCTAGATAACTACTTTTATTTTGGCAAGAATAGCCTTAATTTAGTTTGCTACTTTTTGATAGTAGCTTGTAGCACAGCTAACAAAAAGTAACTTGACTGTAGCTAATAGGCTAATCAATTAGCTTCTCCATGCTGCTTATACTCAGCAATGAATTGTTTGGCAGTTTTTACTGTTTCCTATAAAATCTGTGTAGAACTAGAAGCTAAAACACTAAAATACTTTGTTTTTGTTCACCAGCTGGTAATAGCAGGAGATGGATAGATAAGTATAAAGCGTGTGCTTTATAGCAGCATAACGCAGCCATGCGGAAGCTGTGATGACATTGCAAACGTTCTCTTTTGCTTTAGAGACTGTTCCATGTGAAAAAATGTTAGTAAGGATAATGTCTATGTCTAGCATGTGATTATAGGCTTGTAGCCTAGTGTTATGGGTATATAAAAAGTTCATATGTGAATTATGTGTGCCCTCACTGACTTGTGCACGTTGTTTCATCCTCATTGAGTGTGTATCCTTCACGGCATTGGCAATAAAAGCTCTGAAGCACGCTCACACACTCGTGCTCACAGCTATCATTCCCAAATGAGCAGTAGTCGATCACTGGAACAAGCATACAAAAGCATGAAACTTTGGTGATGAGAAAACACATGCGAGATTCATCTCTAAGACACCTGGTATTAAAATGCGATCTGTATCCAGATAAGTTATCCGGATAATAAGTACTGATTCCATTTACACCTGCCCACATAAATGTGTTTTTGCAAAACGGATATAAATCCGATCTTCACCTCCTGCGTTATATGCAGATTTATTGGATTGCACGCCACCAAAAGCAACAGATCTGAGCGGCATTTTATTGATCATCAGCTAATTTCCAAATCAGAGACATCAATAAGAGAGAGTGGCAACAGGCCTGGTAAGATAATTTCGTTTCTTTACTTGAAGATGTGTTAACTGCGTCTGTGACTTACTTTCAATTTTATTTGCGATGTTTGCACGTTGAATAGACGCTCAGCTGCTCATCTGCGGTGATGCGTGTCGCATCTGACTAGGCTATAACATGACATATAGCCTATATAACACGCTCTCACTCGTTTATTTTTTAGCATTTTTGGGAGGAGTAAAATATACATATGTGGTTTCAACAACCAGATTGCGTTTACACCTAGTAAAGATCCGGACACAATGCGAGCCAGACTACCTCCAGATGTGGTCAGGCAGATCCGATCACGATCCGATCACAACGCATTTACACCTTGCATTAACATTCGTTTTTAAGTTATCAGATAAGATAACTTATCTGGATACAGATCGCATTTTAATACCAGGTGTAAATGGGGTCTAAGTGTGCATTTGAGCACAGAGCTACTATGCAAACATCCAACAATGTCAGTTTCTCTTTAATCACCTGCTCTGTATTAATATGCAATGCAGAATACTAATGAGTCACATAATGCATGCTACACAGCATACTAATTTATCAAAAATGTTGTATGTTCAGAGAGGAACTATTTGTGTCCTGGTTGCTCTCACTAACTTGTGCAGGTTTTCAGGTCATCGTTGAGTGAGTATCCTTCCTGACAGCGACAATTAAAACCGTTGAGGACACTCGCACACTGGTGCTCACAGCTATCATTCCCAAACGAGCAGTAGTCGATCACTGGAACGGGCAGAGAACAGTGAGAGAAGTCTGAGTAATCAGGTGTTAAAGGATTAGTTCACTTTTGAAAAAACTTTTGCTGATAATTTACTCACCCCCATGTCATCCAAGATGTCCATGTCTTTCTTTCCTCAGTCGAAAAGAAATTAAGGTTTTTGATGAAAACATTCCAGGATTTTTCTCCTTATAATGGACTTCCATGGGAACCAGGTCCAACCGAGGTCCAAACGACAGTTATAACAGTTACAGATGCAGCTCAAATGTCTTTAAACGACACCAGACGATGAATAAGGGTCTTATCATGCGAAACGATCGGTTATTTCAAAGCTTATTCCAAAAATGTAACTTTTCTAAGGAAAAATGCTAGCCTTGCTCTATTCTGTGAGGCGCGTTTGCAACGTCACGTAATACGTAATTACGTTCAAAAGGTCACGGGCGACGTAGCCGAAAGTACAGAGTCAGAGTGTTTACAAGTTGAACGCATAGGTTGAACGTGAAAACTAACTCAAACGCCGTTTACAAAAAAGGAATTAAAAGGTAAAACAACGATGTCGATGTCAAAATCGGACGATTTTGATTCTGTACTTCCGGCTACGTCGCCCGTGACCTTTTGAACGTAATTACGTATTACGTGACGTTGCAAACGCGCCTCACAATATATTACAAGGCTAGCATTTGTCCTTAGAAAAGTTACATTTTTGGAATAAGCTTTGAAATAAGCGATCGTTTCGCATGATAAGACCCTTATTCATCGTCTGGTGTCGTTTAAAGACATTTGAAGCTGCATCTGTAACTGTTATAACTGTCGTTTGGACCTCGGTTGGACCTGGTTCCCATTGAAGTCCATTATAAGGAGAAAAATCCTGGAATGTTTTCATCAAAAACCTTAATTTCTTTTCGACCGAGGAAAGAAAGACATGGACATCTTGGATGACATGGGGGTGAGTAAATTATCAGCAAAAGTTTTTTCAAAAGTGAACTAATCCTTTAAAGACACCATGCTTTCTGGATTTTAGTCCAGCTCATAAACACAAAAAATATCAAGCACGTGCATCACTAACTTGTGCAAGTTCTCTTGTCGTCGTTGAGTGTGTATCCCGTGTTACAGTCGCATGTGAATGACCCAGGGGAAGCGATGCAAATCTGCTGACAATCGTGCTTGCCTTCAGCACATAAATCAATGGCTGCAAGAAGCAAACACACACCTGTTGAGCACCACTGGAATGATAAATATATCATACTTCTGTGATGTGTAATTTGTAAGGGTACACACGCGTGCAGGTCTTGCCGTCCTCATTGAGTGTGTATCCAGGCAGACACAGACAGTGGTAGGAACCAGGCGAACTCTCACAGATGTGCTCACAGCCATGATCTGACTCCAGACACAAGTCCATCCCTGCACATTCAATGCACATAAGAGAAAACTAAATCATAGCGTTCACAATCACAGGGCATAAAAGCAACTGCATTCATGTGCATAAGATTTAAGCATTTGAATCCTTGTTGAAATCGGATATTCAATGAGAAAAAAATTAAAGGTGGGACTGATTTAAAGATCAAAAGGACAACGCGAACCAATGTTCATGACCAATGTTTTAATTTTTTTTCTTTTGACAAAAATTTCCTCAAAATCCATGATCTTTAGTAAATTTTTGTTGAAAAAAAATAACAATAAAGAATAAAAAAAGTTTAAGTTTGTTATAAATTGGATTAAATAATTTAAATATATTTTATTTCACGATGTATCTTAAATGTATACAGTACTATTTAAAAGTTTGGGGTCAGTAATCCTTTTTAAAGAAATGTATACTTTAATTCAGCATGGATGCATCATATCAAAAGTGACAGTAAAATAATTTATAATTAAAAAGGTGGTAACACTTTAGATTAGGGTACAATTCTCTCTATTTATTAACTGATAACTATGAATTTTGCTTTAATAAAACTCCTAATTACTGTTTATTAATAGTTGTTGTAGAATAAAGTCAAGCAGAATAAGGCATTAATATGTGCTTTATGAGTGCTAAAAAAAACAACCAATATCCTTGTAATATGCATTCTTATAAGCAACTAGTTAATATTGAGAATTGGACACTAATCAAAATTGTTACCCAAAAGATTTTCAAATAAGTCACATAAATAAATTGCATGTTTAATTGTAAAAATAATGCAATTTTAACTTTCAAATTTTTACCAACCCGAAACTTTTAAAACAATACTGTATATCTGTTGTTATTGCTGAGGAAAAGAATAGAGGTAGAAAAGAATCCGAAAAGTTGAAAAGTTCAACACAAATGTCTGGATTCATTCAATGTGGTTTTTGAGCCTACATCACAAGGAGAAACACTTTACCACAAAGCTTGTCCTGGAACTGAAGCCCAAACTGGTGAATAAGGTCAAAGCTCTCCACGAGGAACACGTGATCCTCAAACGGTGGCGATGCCATTGCTCGCAGTGACGTCATATCGGCCCTGGCGACACCGATGGCGTAGATCTCAATCCCAGACTCTCTCGCAGCAGCTGCCACTTCAGCCACGCGGTCCTGAGGGCGACCGTCCGTCACGATAACAGCTACGTGGGGAACGTTGGGGCGGGCGCCTTCCTCGGCAGAGAAGGCTACATTCATGGCGTAGCGGATGGCCAGGCCGGTCATTGTGCCCTGTGCCAATGGAATGATCTCATTGATGGCTTTGACCATCTGCGCTGGCTTGCTGAAGGCTTTGAGGGAGAAGACGTTCTGGACCTGGCTGGAGTATTGGACCACACCAACTCTTGTAGCTTCCAGGCCAATGTCCATCTCATGGATGATGTCAATCATGAACTTGCGCATAGTCTCAAACTCATGGGGGCGAACGCTGCGAGAGCCGTCGATGATGAACACAAGGTCAACCGGACCAGATTTGCACTTTGGTTCAGCTGTAAAATATGGGGAAATAGAATTAAAAACCACATAATGGCAATATTGACACGGTTTAAAGTGAGTATGAGAATGCAAGTGTAACGGAGGCCAGTTAGTAGTTGCTGTGCAAGTAAACCTCACTCCCCTGATCTCAATAAGTGCTCTAGCGACAGACGCTAGGGGATGCAGTCTTTAGCCTCCGTGTTAGAGCGCCTGAGTGGGTCGAGTAGGACCCGGGTGGAGGGGTTATATTGGTGCCGTGACCCGGATGAGAATGTGGATTAGGGGCGTGAGTGTAACGCAGGCCAGCTAGTAGTTGCTGTGCAAGTAAACCTCACTCCTCTGATCACAATAGGCACTAGAGGCTGCAGTCGCCTCCTTGTTAGAGCGCCTGACTCTCATGCCGGAGACCGGGTTCGAGGGGGACCCGGGTGGAGGGGTTATATTGGTGCCGTGACCCGGATGGGAGTGTGGTTTAGGGGCGTGAGTGTAACGGAGGCCAGCTAGTAGTTGCTGTGCAAGTAAACCTCACTCCTCTGATCTCAATAGGCACTAGAGGCTGCAGTCGCCTCCTTGTTAGAGCGCCCGACTCTCATGCCGGAGACTTGGGTTCGAGGTCGAGTAGGACCCGGGTGGAGGGGTTACACAAGTACAAGGTTCTTTTTTGGAATCGATGGTTCCATTAAGAACCTTTATCATCCATAGAACCTTCCCAGCGTACAAAAGGTTCTTTACAGTGGAAAAGGATTCTATAGATTACTAAAATTTTCTTGACACTTAGGGGAAAAAATAGTTCTTATGAGAACTGATCACTGAAAGATTCGTTAGGGAACCCCAAAATGGTTTTAATGACTTTTTTTTGTAATAAATTTTAAAAGGGAGTAGAAAACACTTTGACTTTTCAGGTCCAAATTAATCTGTCATTTAGTAGTCAAATTAGGAAGATGGTTGACCTGCTCCTTGGTAACCATGAATTAATGTGTGGTGAATTAATGGCTGCTAAGAGCATAAAACCATCAAAATTTAAGAGGCATTTAGAAACCAAACACTCAAAAGATAAAGACAATTTTATACAGTCCATTTTACTTTTCAGCCAAACCTCATGTTCATAATTTTGCATATTGAGCCGATGCAGTTCATGTAAATGTATACATTTTGGTTTATCTTTGCTTGTAAAATCTGGATCCTGAATTATTTCAGAACCACAGATCTAGCTGATAAAAAAAACAAAACATGCTCTACAATGGCCATCTGATTTGCCAACACCAACACAATTGCGCCACCACTAAATGCTTAGTGTAATAAACAGACTCTGAGGTAGTGTCTACTGCTGTTACTGTCAAGATTGATTTATTAGTGTTATTACGATGGTTCAACCAACCTGATTTAGGTCTTGCTTCTGTTGCAGCAATTATGGCTATTAGCACACCAACATACACCAACACACGTGTCATGTTTCGTCGACAAAGGCCCAATCTCGCCATAAAAATCCCACTGGCTGTAGGTGGAGAAGAGAAAGAAAGAAAAATTGCAGGTCAAGGGAAATCTGTGCTTTAAAGGCAGCCATACATTCCAGTCTGAGCTTGCAATAAACCGGCGACACCAAACAGATGGTCCACAGCAGCACTTCTAAACAGGCTGTTAACGTGGAAGAGCTAATAGACTTTTGGGCCAATCACATCACCACAGGCTCAGAGTTCAAACGCTGTGTGAAGTAATTGCTGGAAAATAACTGCGTCTGGGACACTGGCGCTGTAAACAGAGTGCTGTCAGTCACTTTGACTTTCTCTCCAAGGGCCGGATAAGAGTTAGCACTATCAGTGGTCATGGTATCACTAGAGTGGGTCATGGTTTGGCATGAATTTTACTCTCTGAACCCAGCAGATAAAACAGCCAGACAGATTACTGCTGTGCTGCATTCATATCTATTCAACTAAAAACAGAATTTGCAGCAGTACAATTTGCAGAGTTGAAGCTGACATGCTTATAGACCCCTTTTGCCTCTAGCTGGAGGCAAAACAAAGTGAAAAATGGAGGCGGCCAATACAAAACAGCACAGATTCGGCTACATAATAAGGAGCTTATTTAATTGTTACTATTATTAAATGTCATCTTGTTGTGTTGTTTGGTGCAAGAATTGATGAAAAATGAATATGCTGTATCTGGAACTTTTATTTCTAGAAAATATTCACATCATTAAAATCGCACTGTAATGTCACTCTTTACATTGTCGTGGTCTCGGCGCTGGCTCGGCAGAACTGCGGATCGTACACACAAGTCTTGTACAGGACCATATAGGCATCTAAAGATTTACAGTATATGCCCTTAGTTTCTATTTACGATCGGTTTCTCTATAAGGTAACATTAGCTGTATAGAAGTCAGGCCACTCAACCGAGGTAACGTACGTTAATCCTGTCAGATCATCCATGCATTGAGTGAGCGTGTAGGCGACTACAGGTCGGCCAATCTGGTTCCGTCCGTTAAAAATAACTTTTGGAAATAACAATCGCGGTCCTGAACACTGAGTGACCTTACACATTAAGATAATATCGGATTTTCTCCAGTCATTGTTAAAAAACAAGCTAACAATCCTTGCTAACTAGCATTAGTGAAGCTGCCAGATGGATCTTTCTGCCTCCACCTAAGCTCCGCCCACAGAAAAACGTCACCATGTTTACCAACTGTAAAAGGGTCTATAGAAAGGAATAATTTAAAGCCCTTTGAACAGTTTGCAGTTTGCACTGAAACTGTCTTTTGGACCTTGAACCATTTGGTTCCCATTGAAGTCCATTATATGGAGAAAAATCCTTAATTTCTTTTCGACTGAAGAAAGAATGACATGGATATCTTGGATGACATGGGGGTGAGTAAATTATCAGCAAACGTTTTTTTAAAAGTGAACTACTCCTGCTGCCTTAATTTTTTATGAACAATCAACTAAGATGTTTAAGTGATTTCAACTTAAATTACATCAAATTGACTTAAAAACAACGAGTTGAATCTTGTTCATCTAAAATTCCTTAACTTATTTTAATGAGTTAAAGCAATGTAAAAACAAATGTTGTCATAACTTATTATTTTTTAGAGTGTTGGTGCTGTAAAAATATGCACTGCTTATACATATTACATCTTCAAATGTGCCTCGTTGACATCAGACATGCATCTTATGGTCATTTTTGGTCAATCTGGAAGATCAAATCCTACAGTCCTACAATCCTTCTATTTTTTTTTTTCTCAGAAAGACAAAGACGGGAAAAGATATTGCACGCCACGTGCATGTCTATATACTACTCTCAGCATGAAATAGAGTGACCTCTATGACCAGTGCTGGTTTGTGGTTTCTCCAAGCCTTGATTAAGACTCAGCACATAACTGTCGGTTTCAGTGGCATCCAGGTGAACGTCAGACCTCAGCCCTCTGTGCAAAATACAATGAAGCCTTCTGTGCTACATGTGGTCATTATATACTTTGAGTGTGTGTGTACGAGCTGCGGAGACCCTTAACTCTGTATGGTCACACACATCATGCTGGCTGAGAGCCAATAAATTCAGAAGATTAAAGTGGTTATTTAATGTTTATAGCACCATGACTTTTGGATGGCAGCCCATGTCATCTTTAACTGCACTACATTAAAAGAGTAGTTCACTTTAAAAAAAAAAAAAATTTGCTGATAATTTACTCACCCCCATGTCATCCAAGATGTCCACGTCTTTCTTTCTTCAGTCGAAAATAAATTAAGGTTTTTGATGAAAACATTCCAGGATTTTCTCCATATAATGGAGTTCACTGGGAACCAAACGGTTCAAGGTCCAAAAGAGTTTCAGTGCAGCTTCAAAGGGCTTTAAACGATTCCAGACGATGAATAAGGGTCTTATCTAGTGAAACGATTGCTCATTTAAGAAATAAATAAAAAAAATTACGTTTTATAAGCACAAATGTTCGCCTTGCTCTTTTCTGTGTGACTCTCCAGTTCGAACTCGTTCATCAAAATGAAATGATCTTTTTTCGAGTCATGACTCGAAGGGTCCTAGATAAGACCCCAATTCATCGTCTGGTGTCATTTAAAGCAGCACGTAAACTCTCATTTGGACCTTGAACCGTTTGGTTCCCACTGAAGTCCATTATATGCAGAAAATCCTGGAATGTTTTCATCAAAAACCTTAATTTATTTTCGACTGAAGAAGGAAAGACATGGACATCTTGGATGACATGGGGGTGAATAAATTATCAGCAAAAATTTTTTTTTTTTTTAAAGTGAACTACTCTTTTAATGTAGTGCAGTTAAAGATGACATGGGCTGCCATCCAAAAGTCATGGTGCACAACATAGCAGACATATAAAGAGGCATGTGCTGAATTCAATTTTTGACTTTGCAAATTTTTCTATTACACTGCCTTTGAAGAACATGCAGGACCTTGTAAAAGAGGGTTGCTGGTTTAATGAACACACACACTGTACCCCCCATATTTAAAAATGTTAGGCCCTGCATCTGGAAATAATGCAAAATCCATGTGACAACCAAGTTGTGTAAAATCACTTTTCAATATGAATCCTGTTTGCTTGTTGGTTGTAACTGAAAAGCCAGATGGTTTGGTGTCCATGCTTTCTCTCCAAAACATAATCAGCAATAAATGTCACCCACTTTTATTTTTATTTGGACTTTACGGCTCATTCTATGTTCACTTGTGTCAGTAACTGCTTGCCACGTGGAGGGAGGCGTGAGAATTCATGCACCTGAGTACAGGTGACTATCTCTAAAAACAAACATCTATATAGATTTACAAATACTCCTATGAGGCTGATAACACAGTTATTGGAATTGGAGATGGAGAAGTCTTCTTACAACAGAGCTCTGACAGTTACACTGTCGTCACATTGCGAAAGGAGAGAATAAAGTAAAAGCAGGAAGCATGAACAACAACAGTGGAGTGTATGGCACTGTAGAGGACTTTATGAAGATTTCAAAACGGCTGTCGTACACCTGAGCGTCATGCAGGACCAAAGGAAAGGAGATAGAGAAACAGGTCAGTGTGGGAAATATGTTAAAGGGGGACATTCTTTTAAACAAAAGAAATTTTTTAAAAAAATCTAAATTTAAATTACATAATATTTTTTATTTATTTGATTAATGCGTGTTAACAATGGTGTGCATTCATTTAATAAAAACATATTTTATTTATAATTATATTTTTATTTATATTACTTTATATAATATTATTATTAAAAATAATTAATTAATAAATAATTCTCAGCATTCTAAAGGCAGTGCAAAACTGCATGGTGGGGGAAATGTTCTTACTTCATAAAAGTTGTCTTAAACTTAATGGTCACAAAAAATATGCTATATATTATTTAACTAAAGTATAAGTTTTGATTCTGGTGTGAAATATGACCCTATCATTTCGTTTCAGCAATCTCTAGGCATTTCAAAAAAAAAAAAAAAAAAAAGTCTTGAGAGATTGACAGTGCCTCCCAACATGGTAGAGGAGTGAAAAAGGTGACAGGCAGTAAAAAAAGAAGAGTGACAGCACATTTCTTTCAGTGTGCTGAGTATATCAAGCTTCCCAGATCCCAGGTCTAGCCCAAAGGGATCTCCATGGGTTAAAGCCTCACAGTGTAAACGTTTCTCTCAGACAGACCAAAGAAAAACCCAGTGACAGAGAAGACAGGAACATTAGAGGAAGAGGGCATATGGAGGAAAATGACAAGCATGGTTTCTGTGGCAGCAGATTGACTGACAGCTTCACAGTTAAACAGCAGCTTCTTGTTAAAGCAGGATTGAAAGCAGATGTGACGCTTTGCTACTAATAGCGATTTCGCCTCCAGCCAACCACTGCGCACCTAAAGCATATACTGGTGTCCTAAAACAAGGGAGCTGCCTATCTAGACAGCATTGTGGAAATGCTGTTTAGGTAGCCGGCACACTAGATTTTGAGACACAGTCTGATCTATATTTAGGTTTGTTCAGCTCTTGGTTGTGTTCAGAGTGCTTGCTGCACAGTATAGGCTACTATTTACGGTCACATTTGCTTTAATATGTTTAACAGAATAAAATATACAAGAATAAAAGTTTCAAACATTAGTCAACCCCATTCTTGTCAGATATGTTGCATGTTTAATTTAACGATTCAGGTCATCAATCAATTAATCAATCATTAAATAAATGTTGCAATTTATATTCAACTTTGTCTAGATTACAAACAATGGTATAACATTTACAGTTAACAGCTTTGAGAGAAATATTCTCTAGCAGCGACTTGGAAATCATAGGCCAATTTGAGAACATTGCATTGTGGGAGGTCAGTATTCCACAGTTCGCATAGTATTATATTGCAAACTATCATATTTAATGGATACAGAACAGTTACTGTGCACACTAGGCCTACATACTGTAGAAATAGTATGTTAATATGCTATTTTAAACAAATGCTAAGGAGCACGAAATGCGACCATAACAATATAATTATCTTGAAAATGTTTTACATAACATTTAGATTTTATATTCAAATCACGTGTATTTTTATTTCCAAGTTAATTATTTATTTCCAAGTAGCAATCATCATTCTCAAAACTTACATAAACTTTTAACTTAGCTTAAACTTTTAATTTAGTTCATCGATTGAACTTTACGTGGACGTTGATGTGTTTAAAATGCAGTATTTTTTATAAAGCCTGGTTAACAATATTTTTCCTCAGGGAAAATTGCATAAGATGTTTAGCCTGAAAGCACCGTTTAAAAAATAGCACGAAAAAAAATATTTCTCGGCTAAGCATATTGATTATAGATTTATTTAACCATTTCGCAACTGCTAATAATAAATATTTTTTAGAAGGTCAGTCTCTATGTCATTAAACAAACAGTTTCCGTAGTTTTGCTTAATTTACAACTCAACAAAACTACTAAAACACAAGAAACAAAGATATTTTCCTCTGAATTCTCCAGGGTTGGCCATCGTGGACTCTACTGAAGCCTCTCACCTGTACACATCAGACGCGTGCTTCACTCACCTCAGGTAATCTCACAGGGACAAACTCTATGGTAGAAGTATGCAACGGTATCCAGAAATATGACAAAATGAGGCTGAAGTGGTCCAAGAAGCCGATTAAAACAGTCAAGCCGTTCCTTAAGGTCAGTAGTTACCTCTCCAGGCGATTATTCTGGGATAGAGTGAACAGTCAGGACATTGGCCAGGTATTAAATCTACAGAGCACGTTTGAAATGTAGATCCCACCCCCGTCCGAAATGGGAAGAGCAGGCAGGATTTCGTTGGGGGGTTGCTTGCTGCAGGAGAGAGAACATTAGCTTTCTTTTAGTGAGCCTTCAGAAATTCCTTGCGGTTCTGCTTAAATCCACGATTGATGCACGAGCTCTTGAAGTGAACACAGAGCTGACTTTATCAGTTTGAATTTTATTTGATGATATTTTCTTAGGCTTTCTATGAAATATTAATAGTTCCTGTATTAGGGTAGTCGACATATAACGTTTAAGATCTTAGAATGCAGTTTATAGCTATAAAGGAAAGTGTGTTTTAGATTGGCCTACTGTAACTGGTCGTTTAAAGTGGCAGTTCACCCAAAAATGAAAATACTGTCAACATTTAGGCTACTCACCCTCAAGTTGTTCAAGCCTGTATTAATTTCTTGTATTCATTTGTGCTGAACACAAAATAATGTTGTTGAATCTTGGTAACCAAACAGTTTTAGCATAGTTGTTTCCCCTCATTTCTATGGAAATCAGTGGTTACCAACATTCTTTAAAATATCAGCCAAACACTGGGATCCAATTTGACCTCCATCCTAATGCGCTCAAAGTAGGAAGTAGCCTAACATTACTACCTTTGACCCCAAATCCTCTTGGGAATGCCTCAAATATAAAGAGGCGGACAGAATGAAACACTCGAAGCCAATGGGGAATTAGGTGTGATTTCAATAAAATCTAAATAATTGGGCTCCTAATCAGACTGTTAAAAATACTGAACAAAATTAGGGCAGGAGATTACCATAAATTTTATTAAATAAACCATTTTGGATTGAGCAATAAAACGAGATACTTAAAGGGGTGATGAACTCGAGAAATCAAAGTGTGGTTAATGTCAGAAAGCTCAGCAAAACTAACCACAAAAGTCAAGGACAGCCAAAAAAGGCTGTTAATGCCCCAATTTTCTATATTCATTTTAATGTTTAAATTGTGTCACAATCTTAAGAACTACTATGATATGATATTTGTGAAAAGCACAGATAGTTTACTTTGGAGAGGATGCCATTGCCAGTTTAAAAGAAATATTTTCGTCCATCACTAGGGAGGAACAAAATTTCTCCATGTTGCAAAAAGTAACCAGAGATTCAGTGAGGCAATACCTTCAATTCAGACCTGACCAATCAGTGATCATCTTGCATGCCAAAGTTGCTCAGAAGTCTTATGGGAATGAGAAAAGGTAAAAATGATTTACACTTGTGCATTTACATGTTCAAAAAATGAAATGAGTTCAGATGCAGAAGCCTCAAAGGTGCCATTTGAAATTTTCTTCCATATTAATTGTCATTTAAGTGAATTTACTGAACTTAAATATACAAGCTTGATAAAAAATATATAATTCTAGAAGACAATTTCAAATGGCACTTGGAGGCTTTTTGCATCTGAACTCTTCAAATATGCATGCACACACACACACACACACACACGTTTTCATGTTTTATGGGGACTTTTCATAGACCTAATGAATTGTATACTGTATAAACTGTATGCTATCCCCCTACACTAACCCTAAACAGAAAACTTTCTGCATTTTTTTAAAAAAAACAATGACTTAGTAGGATTTATAAGCTCTTTTCCTCATGGGGACCAAATAATGTCTCTAAAATTTTTAGATATTACCATCTTTGTGGGGACATTTTGTCCACATTATGTAGGGTTTACCAGCACACACGAAATGTACTGAAAATCAGCTGGTTTAGCTTTTGTGAAAATGTCTAAAACCAAATCTTTGCTGGAAAAATCACATCGTACCAGCATAAACTGTTTTTTTGGAACATGGAAGCTGGTTTGTTCCTGGTTAAAGATGGTCTACCAGTTCTGTCTAGATTGATAAAGATTGACTAATCAGCTTGGACGAGATTATGCCTAGCTAGAAACCACCTACCATGTTCCAAATGGTTGTTTTAGCCAGGTTCTTATATCACTCACAGGAACATAATTTACAGAAAGTAAGACTATTGCACACCTCTTTCTTCATGTCTGATTCCAAAAATAATGGTTTGTGTTTCCATAGGTTTTTCTGCCCCCCTCCTTGTGTGTACCTCACTGGACACGGATGGAAACTCAGACAGGAGCAGCTGAAAGGTCAGTGGCTTGTGAGAGCATCTTCATTCTTACCATTGTTAATTCACTCAAATTTTCCCATTTATATTCACTCAGCATCAGGTCTAGGTGAGTCCAGTTGTCAACTTTTCGGGTACATGGGTCTGGACAGCTCCACTGATCCACGGACAGACAGTTTCAAGCTGAGCTTTGAAGAGCAGACAGACAAGAGGGTGAGACATTGGCAAAACACGGCGATCAAAGAGGAGAGAGTCTGTCAGGCTTGAGAGAACATGACTTCTGTGTGCTCAGAGAGATTTGGAGCTGGGATCATATGTTTATTCTACCTGGATTACCACTAGGTTTATTTAAGGAGAGCAGTTGGATGAACAAAGATCTTTAAGGGCTTGATCTTTTAGTTGCTTTATTCCTGCCCACAGGAAATAATAATCATAAACAAGATCTCTTTAATATCTCTCCAAAAACTGCAATGAGATTAAATGGTTATTTGAGATCTTAGATATGTATTCTGTGGAAAACCCCCACAAGCCTCCTCTTAAAGTGATAGTTCACCCAAAAATGAAAACTCTGTCAGTAATTAGTTGTTCAAACCACGTAAGACTTTCATTCATCTTCGGAACACAAATTAAGATATTTTTGATGAAATCTAAGGGCTGTCTCACTCCTCCATAGGCTTCTATTGTAATTGAAACTGGCCACTGCCAGCCCAGAAAGTTAGTCAAGACATCGTTAAAATAGTCAGAGTTACTACAGTGGCTCAACCTTAAGTTTATCAAGCGACGAGAATAATTATAATAAAAAAAAACGACTTTATTCAACTATTCGTTTTCTTCTCTGTGGGCTAGAGGGAGAACAGCGCAGCGCTACGTCAGAACGAAGGCTCACTATTGGCCGACGCTGGTCATGAGTGTGATGCTGGCCAATAGTGAGCCTACGTTCTGACTTAGCGCTGCTGCACTATTAAAAATGTCACAAACTGTGTTCAGATTTACCAAGAAATCAAAGTCTGCTATCAAAAGTCAATATGAACTGACATTTTACAGTATTTCTTCTAAGACTGTATATACAGTTACACTTCTGTTCAAAAGTTTGGGCTCAGTAAGAAATTAATACGTATTATTCAGCATGGATGCATTAATTTGATCAGTAAAAACTGAAGCCAGTAAAGATGTACACTCTAAAACCCAACAATTTGTTTCAACCCAAATTTGAAAATGCAATCAAAATGCAATCAAAAAATTAAAGTTGAAGTTGGGTTAAAATTTTAAATTATGTTTTTAACCCAACATTTTTATATATATATTACCCAAATTTGGGTTCAAACAACTCAGCATTGTTTAGAGTGTATAATGTTACAAAATATTTATTTTATAATAAATTTAGTTTTCTTGATTTTTCTATTCAGCAAAGAATTCTGGGGGGAAATGAATGACATTTTCCACAAAAATGTTAAGCAGTTTCAGTATAGATAAGGAGAAATGTTTCTTGAGCAACACATTTGCATATTAGAAAGATTTCTGAGGACTCATGTGACACTGAAGACTGAAATAATGATGCTAAAAATTCATCTTTGCATTACAGGAATAAATTTCATTTAAAAAAAATAATAATTTAATTAGAATACTGCACAATATTACAGTTTTACAAAAAAAATTTATTAAATAAATGCAGCCTTGAGACTTTTCAACTTTTGTAAAGGTTAACAACTGACTCATTTGTGTCTATTTCGTTCTATCTTTCAGATGTTTGCCTGCACTAAAACCTTGTATATCTCAGATACTGACAAACGAAAGCACTTCCGCCTGCTTCTACACCTGTTTCACAGCGGAGGGCAAGAAATCGGCATGTTTAACAGCAGACTCATTAAAGTCATCTCCAAACCATCACAGAAGAGACAGTCCATGAAGAATGCTGACCGTGAGTCTGTGCATGTGTCTATTTGTGTGCAATCCTGAAAGTTTATATTTAATTTGATGCAAACTATAGACATTTAGTCCACATATAAGTCATGACTATTTTTCACTCCACCCAGTTTCCCATGTTTTTTCCCCAAATTATAATTTTTTGTTTTGTGTTGTTAAAGGAGTAGTTCACTTAAATTTACTCACCCCCATGCCATCTAAGATGTCCACGTCTTTCTTTCTTCAGTCGAAAAGAAATGAAGGTTTTTGATGAAAACATTCCAGGATTTTTCTCCATATAATGGCCTTCATTGGGCACCAAACGGTTCAAGGTCCAAATGAGAGTTTCAGTGCAGCTTCAAACGGCTTTAATCCATTTCAGACGATGAATAAGGGTCTTATCTAGCGAAATGATCGCTCATTTCAAAAATAGATAAAAAAGTTTAAGTTTTATAAGCACAAATGCTCGTCTTGCTCTGTTCTGTGATGAGTGACTCGTTTAAACTCGTTCATCAAAATGTCATTTGGTTCACTCGAAATGAATCGAAAACAGATTTGTTCATTTTCATGAACGAGTTCGAACAGGAGAGACGCGCATCACAGAACAGAACAATTGTGAGCATTTGTGCTAATAAAACTTTTTTATTTATTTTTGAAATGAGCGATCGTTTCGCTAAATAAGATCCTTATTCATCGTCTGAAATCATTTAAAGCGCTTTGAAGCTGCACTGAAACTCTCATTTGGACCTTGAACGGTTTGGTGCCCATTGAAGTCCATTATGTGGTGAAAAATCCTGGATCCTTAATTTCTTTTCGACAGAATAAAGAAATACATGGACATCTTGGGTGACATGGGGGGAGTAAATTATCAGCAAAAGTTTTTTGACATCACAATACAAAACAGTACAACCTATTGAATGGACTGTTGATCTATCCCTCATTTGGATCAAATCCATTATGACATCTACACTGACTAAGTGCCGTTACATAAAAGGGTCATCCGGAGTAGAAACCGAACCCGTGTAAGTTTGTGTTGTGGTGTCCTCATGTATGAGAAGTGAGGTCAAGCCGCTAAATAGTGTCACCCAGCAGCCATTGCCACAGAAGTCAGACATTTGACCTCTAACCTTTTGATCCTAAAGCACACACTAAGAGGTCAGCTGCTGTTGACATTGACTATTGAATCCACAGTGAGGTTCTACGGGAAGAAAGAGGCGCTTGACATCTGAGAGCAGCAGTCAAGTGACGATGAATTCCTCACCGTCTTGTGGGAGAGACGGACAATGAGACAAAGTCCTAGAAAAAGAACAGACTGGCATTAGTCAAAGTACAATCAGTCATTTGTGTTTGCTGTCTTCCTGTCAGTATGAATGTGTATGCATACATGTCAGTGAGTGTTTAAATATTATGGTGTTTTTTTTTGTTCTCACATGTTCTCATGTGTGTTTGTTTCTGCAGTGTGTATATCCTCAGGCTCAAAAGTGTCGTTGTTTAACCGCTTGCGGTCACAGACGGTCAGTACACGTTACCTGGCGGTGGAAGACGGGGCTTTTGTCGCCAGCGCGAGACAATGGACGGCATTCACTGTCACTTTAGGTTTGAGATGCAATGCTTTGTCTCTTTAATTCTACTTTAATCCTTTATTATCTCAGTCCTTCATACAAATAACCGAATAAAACAATGTTAATTAACCAAAACTATAAATTATGAGCTTTTCACACATGAAATTGCTAACACAGGGTTCATATTTCACACTGGTGGTTAGTAATGAATCATGTCAAGATTTCACACTACATGTTTGTGAACCCTGGGTTAATAGTCTTTTATATCCTCCTGAGAGTTGTAATGAAGTTTTTTCCTCACTATATTGAGACCATATGAGCCACAGTTTTAAAGGAGTAGTTCACTTTTGAATACTTTTGCTGATAATTTACTCACCCCCGTGTCATCCAAGATGTCCATGTCTTTCTTTCTTCAGTCGAAAAGAAATGAAGGTTTTTGATGAAAACATTCCAGGATTTTTCTCCATATAATGGACTTCAATGGGAACCAAACGGTTCAAGGTCCAAAAGACACTTTCAGTACCAACTGTAAACTGTTAAAAGGGCTTTAAACGATTCCAGACGATGAATAAGGGTCTTATCAAGCGAAACGATCACTAATTTAATAAATAAATAACAAAGTTTAAGTTTTATAAGCTCAAATGCTTGCCTTGCTCTGTTCTGTGACGCACGTTCTTGACTCTCCTGTTCGAACTCGTTTATCAAAATGAATGAATCTTTTTCCGAGTCAGTTCATTCGTTTCGTTCGTTGAATGAACCAAATGACTCTGAAAAAGATTCGTTCATTTTGATAAACGAGTTCGAACAGGGGAGTCAAGAACGTGCGTCACAGAACAGAACAAGGCGATCATTTGCGCTTATAAAACTTTGTTATTAAGTAATTTGTTTGAAATACAAGATATTATGAAAATGTTGGTAAGTTATTACTCACATTTTTATAGCTGCTACTTTATTTTTTTTACATGTTGCCCAAAAGATCACCATTTTATACAATGGGAAAAGCCATTTTTGGCTTAAAATAGTAAAATAGTTAATCAAATCATTTTCTAAAATGTTTCATACCATAGTTGAGAATCTTTGTATAAGTCTGTGTGCATTCATATGTTTACAAGGTTACCAACATTAGGACTCATTTAGTAATAATTGATGCAGAGACATCTCAAAAAATGTATGCATATACTACACACCTAACAGTATTATTATAACAACTTACTGTGCATCTTCTAATGACATGGGAAAACCCTTTTTGCGGAAGTATTTCCTTTAGCCCGGGTTCACCCATGCGTATACACAGACCCAGTGTATGTTGTTAGGACTAACTCACCGTTCACCACCACAGTCGCTAAATAAACATGAGAAACCCAAACAAGTCTAGAAACAACTGGCCAAATCTCCGTGCTGGACGTCCAGCGTGAATAAGTAAATAAACTCTAACAAATGCTTAATGTCTCGCCGCGTTCGAGAGTAAAATCAGTTTCCCAGAATACGACACTTCACCCAAAGAATAAAAATTGTAAAAGCTTCAATTGTAAATGTCAGCAGCATGTGTTCAGCAGCTGGTATAAATGTAGCATAAATGGGTTTAACCCCTGTACGGCGCCCAAGGCCAAATCCTGGTCTGAGTGAGGTCTAACTTTCTCTCTCGCCCCCTACAGCACTATACCTATGGAGGCGTATTGCATTCAGAAAAAAAAAATCCACTCTGTTTTTCTGAATTTACGAGTTAATTTTTCATGAGAAAAAAAAAATTGATCTGTTTTTCTGAATTAATGAGTTAATTTTTCATGGAATTTTTTATTTTTTGCTTTGTTTTTCTGAATTAATGAGTTAATTTTTCATGAGAAAAAAATGTTTTGCTCTGTTTTTCTGAATTAATGAGTTAATTTTTCATGAGAAAAAAAAGGTTTTGCTCTGTTTTTCTGAATTAACGAGTTAATTTTTCATGAGAAAAAAAAGGTTTTGCTCTGTTTTTCTGAATTAACGAGTTAATTTTTCATGAATTTTTTTTGCTCTGTTTTTCTGAATTAACGAGTTAATTTTTCTGTTTTTCTGAATTAACTCGTTAATTCAGAAATTAACGAGTTAATTATCTCGTAATATTATTAATATTAACGATATTAATTATCTCGTTAACTCGTAATTCTGAGATAATTAACTTGTTAATTCAGAAAAACAGAGTAGATTTTTTTTTCTTCAAGTGAATGCAATACGCCTCTGAATACCCTAATCCTATACCCTCACTCTGTTTCAACTCTGTTCCTAGTGGAGGAGATGCAAGCGATTCACAGCGACTACAGCATGTGTGACAGCTACATCTGTTATGGCTGTGTGGTTCGGCTGGTATGCACTGACTCAGGAGTGGCGCTGCCACCAATGGTATGCAAGTATAAATCGTTTTTCTTTCCATTACATTTTCAAGTCATCTTTTTTATGTAGCACTTTATAAAAAAAAACAGTGATAAACAAGAAAATGATTAATGATGCAAACAAAATTCAGCTCTATAAAAAGACAATATCATTCAACTCAAGTCGCTGTTGTCGCAGTTGATTCAGGTCAGATCAATAACTGTTAAAGTAATCAATAATGAAATGAAGTTAAATTCAGCTAAAAGCAGCTCTACAGAAGGCAATAGTGTTGTTTTTCACTTCTGAGTCAGTTCAGTGTTGATTCGACATGGTTCAGCTCAATTCAGCTCAAGTTTGGTTCTCTCAATCAAATCAATAATATTACTGAAAAGTGCAAAAGCCTTGCTGCCACTTGGCATTATGGCTACAAATATTGTACAGGTCAGAGAATATAAAAATCTAGGTAGTTTTACAATTCATATCTGATAAGATATTTTAATCAGTTTCCCGGTGTTTATTGTTCAGTAACAATATCTTACTGTAATGTATTGGTGCTCTTCTCTACTGCATGCTAACAAAGTGTAAATAAAACCATGCACTTTTTTATTTTAAAAACCTTGTTGGATTGAATCTGAATGTTCTGTGTATTTTTAATCTATTTTTTTTTTCACCCATGTCTCTGAAGTCTGTTCTGTACAAATTTCCATCCATGTGGTGTTTTTGGGAAGCTGGTCTGCTACCAGCCTGCGCCACAATTTGCTGATAAAGCACTTGATCAAAATGCCAAGGACAACGTTTAAATACCACATTTAGCAGACTAGCAAACAGAATAGACCTTCACAATGTTGTTTTAGTTGTTTGAAATTGCTGACTGGTTTGTGTTGGTTTGCAAGGGTGTATTTGAAGCCCTCGTGCAGCAGGATTTGTGATCCCCGAGCTGCAGTTTTGGAGGAGTGTGAACAGTCAGGCATATTGTGCAGCACACAGGTGTTGTGGGGGCCAGTCGAATGAGACCAGGTGCATGATAGAAGGGCGATGAATCTTTTTTTTTTTTAGGCCGGCTCATATCAGATTTCTGAGAACGAAAACGAAGAGGACTTTATGCAATTATACTCTTAAAAATAGAGGTTTCAATCTCAATGATGCCATAGGAGAACCATTTTCGGTTCCCCAAAGAACCTTTCTGTGAACAGTTTTTAAAATAAAATGCCAAAAGGCAAGTAAAAAAAAACTATATTAAAAACAGTAATATTGTGAAAAAATTATTTACAATTTAAAATAACTATTTTCTGTTTTCATAATGAAACTTTTAATTTATTCCTGTGATGCAAAGCTGTATTTTCAGCATCATTATTACTCCAGTCTTCAGTGTCACATGATCCTTCAGAAATCATTATAATATGATGATTTAGTGTTTAAAACAGTTGTGTTGCTTAATAATTTCTCAATTGTTGCTTTAATTTGTTGTTGTTGTTGTTGTGGAAATCATAAATGCCAAAGATAAATGCCATTCAAAGGTTTAAAATATATACTGCTAAAAAATAATACTATTATTTAACAAGGGCACATTAAATTAATAAAAAGTAACAGTAAAGAGATTTAAATATTATTATTTATACCATTATTTATAATTGAGCACCGATAATATTGATAATAAAGCAGCAAATCATCATATTAAAATGATTTCTGAAGGATCATGTGACACTGAAGACTGGAGTAATGATGCTGAAATGTCATATTTGCATCACAGAAATAAATTAGATTTTAAATTATATTAAAAAAGAAAACAGTCCTTTTAAATTGTAATAATATTTCACAATATTACAGTTTTTTTTTTTTTTTTTTGCTCTATTTTTGATTAAATAAATACGGCCTTGGTGAGCCAAAAAACGTAATTAAAAATGGAAGTAAAATCTCATTCTTTAAATAATTGCTTTTTAACAAAACCATATAAATGTTTCTTAAAAGAAATACCATGATCTCTTCTGATTAGATCTGTGCAAGCCATACGTCAAAGATTTCAGTTTCTTTTTTTAAACTGAATTAAAGACTAAAACTTTCAGAAGCAAGAATGAGAAAAGGTTGATGATCACTGTTGCTCTATTAAAGTCATATCAAATGGAAAACGCAAAACCTTCTTTGCAGGTAATACGAAAGGTGAACAAGCAGCATGCATGTCTAGACGTGGATGAGCCCGTGTCTCAGCTTCATAAATGTGCTTTCCAGTTCAGAGACAGCAACCACATGTACCTCTGCCTGTCCAATGAGAAAATCATACAGTTCGAGGTGAACACAGGCCATGATATTTGGTTAAAAGAATAGTTCACCCCACAATGAAAATGCATTCACTTACCCTCATGTGATTCCACACTCGTAGGCCTCTCCGTGCCCTAAGGAAAGTAATAAGGTGTTGTTGAATGACGGATCCTGTTGGACCATCATCGGAACAGAGGTGGTTGAATACACCTTCAGTGAGAGTCTAGCCGGGCACCCGACCACCATCAGCCCTGTGCCTGTGATCAATGGACTCGAGGTCAGAAATCAAGCACTCAATAACGTTTCTTCATTACACCTCTTCAAATCAATTTTAAAAAACTAATTCAAGAGAAAAATTGAATTGTTCACTTCAGTTTTTAGTGTTCACTGGGGTTCTATATAAAACTCTAGGGTTGTTGAACTATTTATTCCCAAAAGGTTCTATAGCAGGAGAAATGTCTTAAAGGGATACTCCACTGTTTTTTGGAAATAGGCTCATATTACAACCAACCAGTGTTGGGTAAGTTACTCTAAAAAAGTAATTAATTACTAGTTACTAATTACCTCTTCAACAGTGTAATTAGATTACTGTACTAATTACTCTCTCTAAAAAGTATGTAATTACTTTTAATTACTTTCAAAATCCCATATCAATCTCAACCAGCTGAATAATACAAGGATAGACATGAATCTGTTTTAATTCTTTCAAATAAATTCTATAAAATTGCATGAATTATCCTTTACATTATAAAAACATACTTTTTAGCATCAGACAATACATTTTGATGTTAAACCCACTATTGTTTTATGTCTGATCTCATTACATTTCACACTTCTTTCATACATATTTTACAATAATTCATACGAATTTGTACGAGTGCGGTCGTAATATTTAGACACCTCATAAAATGCATACGAATCCCTGAGATCGGATTGATCTATACACAGTAGCTATTTACCTCAATTACATCAGAAGTAACTGTAATTAAATTACAGATAAATTAAGAGTAATCCCTTACTTTACCATTTTAAGGGAAATTAAATTACAGTAACTAATTACTTAGTAATTAGTTACACCCAACACTGATTACAACTCCCCCAGAGTTAAACAGTTTCTGGTCCCATTGACTTCCATACCATATACAGGAAGTCAATGGTACCAGAAACTGTCTGGTTACTGATATTCTTCTAAATATCAGAAAATCATCTGAATGGATTCGAAAACAGTAAAACCCAACTGTTTAACTCTGAGGGAGTTGTTGAGCCTATTTCCCAAAAAAAGTGGAGTATCCCTTTAAATGATTGCATAATACTTTTATTTCTAATGATCAAATGTTTGCAAGTTCTTTCGAAGAGTGTAATTTAATATCAGTATTTCTTATTATCAGTGTTGAAAACAGTTGTGTGGCTTAATTTCTTAATTGTTGCTTTAATTTTTTGTTGTTGTTGTGGAAATCATGATAAATGCCATTCAAAGGTTTAAAATATATACTGCTAAAAAAATAATACTATTATTTAACAAGGGCACATTAAATTAATAAAAAGTGACAGTAAAGAGAACCCAACTGTTTAAAACCCGACTGGGAGTTGTAAAATGAGCCTATTTCCCCAAAAAAGTGGAGTATCCCTTTAAATGATTCCATAATACTTTTATTTCTAATGATCAAATGTTTACAAGTTCTTTCGAAGAGTGTAATTTAATATCAGCTGTGGTTACCTAAACAACACTAACAAGTGATTTTTGTGATTTAGCTAAATGGAGGGGGGCATGTGGCCATGTTGGAGCTTCACGGAGAAAACTTCAGTCCACACTTAAAGGTCTGGTTCGGTGACATGGAGGCAGAGACCATGTTCAGGTAAGAATGTTTCATAAATATAATGTGCATCCTGCTGGTTGTTATGTCAGAACAAACCCCTTCAGTCCCCTCCGCTGATCAACCTGTCTGGGTTTATTCTGAGATAACAACCGAAATAAAAAACTGAAACAAACTGATGTGCAGATATTTTATATGGCTTTGACCTATTTATTCTAACTATTTTAGAATTAGTATCTATTTAATAAATTGAAATTAGTCACTCACTATGTAAATAATACAGCATGAGGGTTCATAGCAAGACAAAAAACAAACTTCCTACTCATACTAGACGGTTCCCTGTGCAATCATTTAGTTTGTTGTGTCCACCTTGCCAAGGCTCCAGGGATGCCGTGGTGTGACATTCCTGTCTCAGCGGGCTGGAGGGGAATGATGGTCTCTCTCAGGTCCTTGTAGGGAGGTACTTAGCGCTGTAGTCGAGTGTCAGGAAGGTCAGCGGGTGATCTGCAAATCTGCAAATCAGTGAGCTGTAACTTCCTTCATCTTAAGTTTCAGGAGGAAAACATTTAAGACGTCAAAGTTTGACAGTGAAATATTGTTAAATTAGACTATTTAAAATATTTTAATTGAAATAAATCTTAAATAAAATAAAATATTATTAATATTATTAAAATGATTTGCCTTGGCAATAAACTGAGGTTGAAGTTGAAATAAATAAAAACAAAATCAATCTAAATAACTATATATTTTTACAGAATGTACAATAAGGGTATTTAATCAAAGCAAACATCTAAATATGACACTTTGTCCATCTCAGGTCCTCTAGGTCTTTGCTGAGTGTCGTTCCTGATGTGTCTATATTGAGTGGCGAGTGGAGATGGATGAGACAACCAATCACAGTGCCCTTATCTCTGATCCGATTTGACGGGCTGATCTACAGGAGTTCATACTCATTTACTTACACGCCAGAACACAGCGCCCCCTCTCAAGCAATCGTTACAGCGGAGAGATCTGCAGACTCAGACTCGCTCATTGACACCATACACCAGGAGTTCACTCGGATGAACTTTCACCTATTTATGCAGAGCTGACAACACACACACACACACCGTGAACCAAGGATTAGTCCAGGCGAATATTTATGTCAGATTACTCAGTTGTTAACACTAACGCTAACAAGAAAAACTCTCCCAGCATGGAATCACATGGAGCTTACACACTAGTGAGCGCTGTGATGGAGCGTTTGACATGTATGAATGCACAACACCCTTGTATTGAGGCTGTGGAGAGAGGCTAGTCAGTCTGAAATAAAGTTGGAATCAGTTCATTAGATTCATGACAGTTTCTCATTGGTCAATGGATGCGCATGTCAGAGTGTGTTGTAGCAATAGTTTAAATTCAGGAAACCAGTTTGTTTTCTATGCCTTGACCGTAAAGTCATTTATAATGTAACAAAAGATTTCAGTTTCAAATAAATACATTTATTCATCAACAAATTTTTACAGTCACTTTTGATTCATTTAAAGGATTAGGTCACTTTAAAAAAAAAAACTTTTGCTGATAATTTACTCACCCCCATGTCATCCAGTCGAAAAGAAATTAAGGTTTTTGATGAAAACATTCCAGGATTTTCAATGGGAACCAAACGGTTCAAGGTCCAAATGAGAGTTTTAGTGCAGCTTCAAAGGGCTTTAAACGATTCCAGCCGATGAATAAGGGTCTTATCTAGCGAAACAATCAGTCATTTCAAAAATAAATAACAAAGTTTAAGTTTTATTAGCACAAATGCTCGCCTTGCTCTGTGCGTTCGTGACTCTCCTGTTCGAACTCGTTCATCAAAATGAACAAATCTTTTTTCGAGTCATTTCGTTTGTTGAATTTACCAAATGACTCGAAATAAAGATTTGTTTGTTTTGATGAACGAGTTTGAACAGGAGAGTCACGAACGCGCATCACAGAACAGAGCAAGGCTAGCATTTGTGCTTATAAAACTTAAACTTTGTTATTTATTTGTCAAATTACCAATCGTTTAGCTAGATAAGACCCTTATTCATCGTCTGGTGTCGTTTAAAGCCCTTTGAACAGTTTGCAGTTTGCACTGAAACTCTCATTTGGACCTTGAACCGTTTGGTTCCCATTGAAGTCCATTATGTGGAGAAAAATCCTGGAAAGTTTTCATCAAAAACCTTAATTTCTTTGCGACTGAAGAAAGAAAGACATGGACATCTTGGATGACATGGGGGTGAGTAAATTATCAGCAAAAGTTTTTTTAAAAAGTGAACTACTCCTTTAATGCATTCTTCCTAATAAAAGTATTAATTGCTTTCTTTTTTAAAAAACACTAACCCCAGACCTTGGAACGGTAGTGTATATGAATGTACAATTCGACAAGTATGAGCTGTATAAGAGAAATGATGTTATTGTCATCAAGAAGTGCATCAGTGCCAGAGTCCAGCATGAATTAAATAGCAATGAATTTTAAACTATAACAAAACATATTTTGATGAGTAGTTAGATCAGAATTGCTATCTAAAACACAATGATGTAGTTATTGTAGTATTTGATGTTATTATGTCGTCTATCTCGATATCTTTTACACAACACAGCACATAACTTTACACAAAGCACCTATTATACAGCATCACTATCACATCCAAGATCATCTTCAAAGGATGAAAGCTCAGAACATACTCCATAAATTGTGTTGAAAAGTGTGAAACCGTGTCTGCGCATACTTTTTAGGGGTCTTAGAGGTCTTTGGATCGTTTCCTTCTAATTACAAAAGAAAATATGCGTGAGAGGGACCGGCATATCAACTAATCTTTATCATGTGTCCACCATTGCCAACGGGCCCCCGGAATTTATTTTCACATCAATCCATTCCGCTCTGAGACAAGAGATATGAAGGGACCTATTCTTCTATCTATCCGTTCTTCACACCTCTTATGTAACAGGACGGATAGTATGCAATACCATAAAAAGGAAATTTCTTTCAGCTTTTGCTTCCTGCTTGAAATGAAACTCTCTGAGTGGCTTAAACTTAAACTTCGGGTATGCGTACGTAACGTGGCGCATCAACAGTCTCCTTATGCTCGGAGCATAAAGAAACCTCTGTCCCTTTATTTTGGCCCAGCATTTGTCTAATATATCACCACTCACCCATCATTCCACCCCGATCGGCCTTCTGCTTCAATCGGTGAAGTGATCTAGCCTGTGATTGACAGCTCATTTACCGCTCTGAGAAGGGCCCTTTAAGGTCCGAGAGGCCGGTGCCTGGGCAGAGAAGATGGGAAAAGTATGAAAAATATGTTTGTACTCATTGTTTCCGAAGGACTTGTGTGTTCAGGGGCCAAATGTGAGCCAATTAGTGCTACAAGGTAGAGTGGACATATTTGGAGTAGATCAAACCCTTTGCTACGGTAAGAAATGGATTAGTAAAAATGCTTTGAAGGATTTGTCATGTTTGACAACATAGAATTTCCCTCTATATTTTTTCTTCCTGAACAGTGCTCAAAGGCAAAACATGTGCAACGGGTAGTTCAGACTTGAAAGTCAGCCTAATTTCAAAGTATTTGTTGAAGTAAGGTAGCTGACCATAAAGACATATAATAGCCTATTATAAAACATTTCTATTTCAAATCAATGGTGTTCTTTTCAATTTTCTATTCATCAGAGTATCCTGAAAAAAGGTTTTCAACTACGTTTACATGCAGCCAATAACCCGTTCAAAACCAGGATATTAGCAATAACCCGTTCGCGAACGGCCATGTAAACACCGGCAAAAACCCGAATATGCTCATATCCCGGATTTTAAAATCCAGGATAATACCTGGGGTACCCCTTTTCTAACCCGATTTTTTTGTCATGTAAACACGTATCGGCATATCCCCATAGTGATTTGTGTTCTGCGCATGTTCTATTCGCAAGGAATCTTGGTCTTTTGAGTAGAGAAACTTCTCGGCGCATACAAAAATCCGCGTGCAGTATACCGGAAGTAAACATGGCGAGACCAGGCGAGACACAGCACAGCACACTTTTGGAGCGAGGTCAGTAACATTACCAGCATCAGAGCGCAAACAAAGGCGATCGCTATCTTCCCCGGACTATTCAAACCGGCGTGCTGCTGTTGTTGTCTTTGGATATAGGAAGAAGAATCTGAAATGTCCGTACGTTGACGTCTAGACGCTAACCGCGCGTCGCCGTTTACATCGGGATATTGCAATTCCATGTATACAGGAGTAACTCTCTCTGCTCACGCATGTAAACAGGTTATTCCTAATGTTTCAGAAACCCGAATAGTGACCTTAACCCGACCATAACCCGAAAATTGGCTGCATGTAAACGTAGACAGATAATAATCAGAAATGTGTCTTCAGCAGCAAATCAGAAAATAAGAATGATACCCAAAGGATCATGTAATACTGAAGCCTGGAGAAATTATCTTAAAAATTGATTAAATGTTGGGTTTAACTAACATGGACTAAGATTAATAAATGCTGTTGAAGTATTGTTCAATGTTAGTTCATGTTAACTAATGAAAGCTTATTGTAAAGTGTTACAACAATAAATTTTGTAAGTTCAACTAAGTCTGTGTTTTACCGTGATATTACCCTTGTACTGCAGTAAAATATGGCATTTGTAGAGTTAGTTCACCCAAAAATGAATCAAAAATTAAGAATAAAAGCCTAAATTCAATCTGTTCATCATATAAAGCAATCATCTCTTCAGAAAATCTGGACTTAACTGCTCAATTCATATATGGATTATTTTTATGATCTCTTTTTGAACTTTTTGAAGTGTCAACGACAACGTAGTAGTTGCGGATCTGTCAATGGAGGGAAAGAAATCACACAGATTAAAAAAAAAAAAAAAATCTTAATTTGTGTTCCGAACGTTGAACGAAAGTCGAGTTTGGAACGACAGGAGGGCGAGTAATTACATTTTTGGGTGATCTATCCCTTCAATGCCTATTAAAAGCAAAGAACTAAGCCATTCATCTCGCTCTTTTGCACCTGCTAGGACATATTACAAGTTAATAATAACCCTACTTTATTAGCAGACTGACTGAACAACTCAATATGATTCATTCAGTCCTTATTATCTTCATTAATCAGCATGACTGGTATGTATGACCCACATTCTGTTCTCTAGTATAACATGCTACTTAGGTTGACATGACACCCTTGTAGTGACCGATTCCAGATGTTTGACAGATTTTTCAAACAGACTATGTGACTAGACAGCAAAGAATGAGGCATATTTGCCAGACCAACAAGATGGAGACATTAACTTAGAGAAAGCCATAAAAAGTTATGAGGTGATTTTAATGCACACTTTAGAGGATACTGAATGAATTAATGCTTGCTTTTTAGTAGTTGCCTTTATTTGTCTCTCTAAGGCCCTGTTTACTCCTGGTATTAAGATATGTTTAGGTCGAGGTGTAAGCAAGGTCTAAAACGTTTTGAGTTTGTTCACTTTCCTCCACTTCCAGAGGTAATCGAAAATTATTTTGTCCATTAGATGGAAAACCCATACATATACCCGTCCTCCTTAAAGAAATTAGGTGGTTGAAAGTGGACAAAGATGGATTAAAACACCAGGCGTGAACAGGTAGGCCTATGTGTCTCCCTCGTAAACTTGCGATCGATCAAAATGTATCTTAATAGCAGGTGTCTAAGTGTGAGATGGAGTCTCTTTTTGTTCAGACTGCATGAGAACCTGGAAAAGGTCCATTCTAGAAAGCCCTTCTGCCTCCGCAGGACGTCTGTAATGATGCCTGACTTGAAGGGGAACCAGCTGACCTCGCATCCTTCCGCCATCCGGAACTGAATCGCTCCCTACAGCAATCCCACAAATGTTCCATGTTGTCAGAATGTCTTAAATCCAATTGGATCAAAAACATGGGCAGAAAGCCCAGAACTTTGTAAAGAACACCGCTTTGTTCATGCAGAATGAGAATATTTTCCAGCATCCAAGTTTTGTTTAAGAGCATAGGGTGTAAACACCAGCATTCCCATGTTATAATGGCAAGAGTCTGCTCTTTTTAGATCTCATTCAAGAATCAACAAAGTCTCCAGTGTTTTTTTTTTCTTTCTTAAAATGTATGTGAAGAAAGAAACTGAGAAAATGAGAGAAATGTTGACATCACTCTTAAAAATAAAGGTTCTTTATTGGCATCTATGGTTCCATGAAGAACCTTTCAAGGTTCTTTATAGTGGAAAAGGGTTCCTTAGATTATTAAAATGTTCTTTACACTAAGGAAAAAAGTCCTTTTATAAGAACAGTTTACTTAAAGGAGTAGTTCACTTTTCAAAAGACTTTTGCTGATAATTTACTCATCCAAGATGTCCATGTCTTTCTTTCTTCAGTCGAAAAAAAATTAAGGTTTTTGATGAAAACTTTCCAGGATTTTCTCCATATAATGGAATTCAATGGGAACCAAACAGTTCAAGGTCCAAAAGACAGTTTCAGTGCAAACTGTTAAAAGGGCTTTAAATGATTTCAGACGATGAATAAGGGTCGTATCACGTGAAACGATCGCGCATTTAAACGAACAATTTCGTTTTATAAGCTCAAATGCTTGCCTTGCTCTGTTCTGTGATGCACATGACTCTCCTGTTCAAACTCGTTCATCAAAATGAATCGTTTAAAGCCCTTTGAACAGTTTGCACTGAAACTGTCTTTTGGACCTTGAACCGTTTGGTTCCCAATGAAGTCATCTTGGATGACATGGGGGTGAATAAATTATCAGCTAAAGTTTTTTTGTTTTTGTTTTTAAAGTGAATTACTCCTTTAAAGATTCTTTGGGGAACCAAAAACGGGATCTTCAATGGTAAAAAAAAACTCCTTTTGGGACCTTTATTTTTAAGAGTGTACAAAAAAAATGTGGATATCAGCAGAGATAATTTAGTCTTGGAAGAATTTGATGAGAAATGTTCAAGTTGTCTGACTTGGTCTGATCATTTCTGGTGAGTGTCCAAATACATTTAGGCGCTACTCTATCAGGCAGAAACCAGATATGAGATGCCATTTGTGATTTTCCTTTCCTGTGGGTTGAAATGAGATTTCAAGGGAGAAACATCTAAGTCCAGAGCAGAACCTCATCTCCCAGCGTGGCTCTCCTTTCCTTGTACCTCCTCTTTGCGGCAGTATGCTGGTATTCCTGTGGGAATCTCTTTCCTCTCAGGAAGCAGGTTTCCTTTCAGAGTCAATAAGCCTTTCTGCTCAGACCCCAGCCCAGCGTGTGCACTCACATGTACAGCAGTGTGTATGCGTAGGTCTGACCGGCAGCTGTGGGTGTGTGGGCTCTTAGGAGCCGCTTGTTTGAAGGGTTGGAGGACATTCCACCATCAACTGCTTTGTTCCAGCACAGAGTAGTGAAAATACTCCATTATTTAAACTACAGATTAATAGCCATCAAACAAAGCAAGCATCACTATTAATGCTCCTACAAAAGATAGAGTTTGATCATTTGTCTATTGTAATTTGCTATAATTTGTCTATTGTCTATTGTTAAAACTACCACTGCTTCTGTCTTGATAATAGCACATAACTTTGATTTTAGCAAATGCAGCAAAATATTTAACGAGTATGATTTAAAATTGTTGCAGCTAGACGCTTAAAACCCAATTATTGACACCAAGCACTGCACAACCCTTGTGTTATGTTGCGGGTCAATTTGACCCGTTTACATTTTCTAGTAAATGTTAACATTTGTTTTTTTTTTTTGATATTTTGTGAGTTTTTCTCATTTATCATCATGAACATGCATGCAAAGTTTCAACATGCTGATGTGTTGTGACATACAGTATATATATATATATATATATATAGAAAATTTCAAATGGCACTTAGAGGCTTTTGCATCTGAACTCTTCATATATATATATATATATATATATATATATACAGTATATGTATATATATATATATATATATATATATATATATATGGATTGGTGACTCTCATAAATGCATAAAGTCACTTTTTCCACCAACCATGGATCTCAAGCTTTAGAGGATGGACCAAGATTGAATATTTTCCCATCCTGTTATCTGAAAAGCATGACCATCAATATTATTCGCTTTGGAACCAAGCATAAAGAGTCACAAGTGAATTGTGACTGTGCCCAGGACAAGCTTGTAAAATGTAATCTTTCATTTAATGTTTATTTCTCATACCCCCCCAGCAGCCAAAAATAATATAACTGAATATTCCAGCTAGTGGAGAAGGCTTGCACTGAAATTGTCCATTTAAGGCAGTTAAGTCACATTCTTACTTCAGTGTTTTCATAACCTTCCTCAGCTATTATTATATAAATTAAATTATTTAATAAACCCGAATTATTTAGGTATGCAGACACTAAGAATCATCAGACACCCAGATAAAAGATGGAAACCTACTAACCCTGCCAATGGGCTCTATGCACGGCGGTATTTCCGGTGAAGCATTAGGGATGCTCGATAACTTCCGCCGATCGTAGAGTCCAATGCAATACCGAGAATTTATATTGAATTTTATACTCCATGGTTATGCTAAAGAAACATTAGTCACAAAAACAGATAAAACAGACACCCCTCGTTGTGTTTATGCTTCTTTTTAAAATTATATTAAATAAATATAACTAGGCTATATATAAAATTACATCTAAACGTACGTTTCATTTCAAAGACTGGAGGACAGTAAATTTTGAAGACTCTGCCATAATCCCGTTTTCCTCGGTTTTCCTCCGCTTTAATCTCCACAACCGGAAATGGACGAGCATCCTTGCGTCAAATGCGGAATTTATGCGTGCATATAGCCCATTAGCCTAGTGACTGGGGTTACATTTCATTTCATTAGTGGTGCTTGCTGAAGAAACTTCACTACTGTTGCTCATACGTAAGCTTAGGGAACTTGGCATACCACACTAGCAATCCCCTAGCAACGTCGTGACAAATACCCAGAACACCCTAGCAACCACCCAAACACCTTAGCAATTACCCCACAGCAAAACTCTTAAAGGGATAGTTCAGCCAAAAACAAAAATTCTGTCTACTATCACTTTTAAACCCGTAAGAGTTTCAATCATTATTGGAACACAAATGAATATATTTTTGATTAAATCTGGTTAATTCTCGTGTTACGCAGCACATTTAAGCTTCCGCAAGAACCAATGAGGTTCAATCTTGTGCTACGCATCACATTTGAGCTTCAGCAAGAACCAATGAGGTTCATTCTCGTGTTACACATCACGTTTGAGCTTCCATAAGAACCAATGAGGTTCAATCTCGTGTTACGCATCACGTTTGAGCTTCAGCAAGAACCAATGAGGTTCATTCTTGTGTTACGCATCACATTTCAGCTTCAGCAAGAACCAATGAGGTTCATTCTTGTGTTACACATCACGTTTTTGCTTCCATAAGAACCAATGAGGTTCAATCTCATGTTACGCATCACGTTTGAGCTTCAGCAAGAACCAATGAGGTTTGTTTGCACGAGCCAAGCAGGTTTGGTTGAGCTTGTTTATGTTTGCTGATCAATGTTTAAATGTAAATGATGAACAGATTTAATTTAGGGTTTCATTCAAAGTTGAGTCGAAATTGATTGAGATGAAAGAAAGTCTTACAGGTTTGGAACAACATGAGGGCGAGTAAATAATGACAGAATTTTCATTTGAATTATTGAACTATCCCTTTAAGTCTTTAAGCAGCACAACAATCTCAAATCTACAGTATGTGGGCAGGAAAGCCTTTACGTTTCAGCACACAACCTCAACATCCATAAAAACCTCATGAGAGAGCTGAAATCTGATGATTTTAAAGAAAGCTGCGTAAAATCCCTCCTCCGTTGCAAGCCCATCACACGGGCGCCAGAGTGAAAGCGCTGGAAGAAAAGGCTGCCATTGTGTTAATGAATAGAGGCCTGTAATATGCACCATGCTTTGACATTTCTATAAATTGAGAAATGATGGTTTATAAAGCCAATACGTTTGTTTTCACAAGCATTTGGACTAGAATGAAGGCTCCTCAAAGAACCTCAAGAGCTCAACAATGCAGTGTTTGTCTTTGCCTGGCCAAGTAGAAATGACTAAACTGAAAGATAAAATCTAAACATTTCATTATTACCCATCACTGGGCTTTCAGTGGTACTGTTTGGGCTTCAATCTTTCAAGCTCGGATAAACTGTCGTCCATCAGCTGTAATTGTGAAGCCCAGAATTCCTGTTTGTGTTTAACAATGTAATGTGATATGTGGGGTAAAATTCAATAAGATGAGGAATTTGTTTCGATTGGGAGGAACCTCGTTCCTGATTACTGCAGAGAACAGATCATCGTTTCAACACATGACAGATTGCAAAAGGCTCCTTTATTTAAACGTTGCTCTTCACAGGCAAACACGTGCACTACAGCGCCATCTGCAGGCCATAGCGAGAAACTGCAGCATTGTCCAAAATCTAGTAAACAGACAATTTTAATGGTCAACAAAAAAGCAAATAATCAAATTGTATCAACCAGGGCTGCGTTTCTTCAAAAGCACATTGAGCTAAGTTGATCATATGAAGCTAGTGGTTCTACAATCTACTTGCTTTTGAGAAACGCAGTCCATTTCTGTGTTGGGTAAATAAAAAAGTCATTAATTTCAGTGTTGGGTAAATAAAAAAGTCATTAATTGCTAGCCACTAACATCTTAAACGGTGTAATTAGATTGATACTAATTACTCTCCCCAAAGTATTGGATTACTATTAATATTTTTAAATTTGTATTATTTATTTAAAAGGGACAATGCACATCATTTGACATTTTTTGTTTACACTGAAAATGTCAATGCGCCAGAGTTAGCAGAAAAGCGAATTTTCATCTGTTGTCCCTTGGCAGGTCAACACATCATATTACATTAATAAATAAAAAGACTACATGAGAAATAGAAACAATTAAGACAGAAAAGGGGAGATAAAAGAGAAAGAAGCAAATAGAATAATTAAATAAGTACAGTAAAGAAGGGCAAATTGCAGTTTTGATTATTTTTAATTCATCTGTTTAATGTGAATTTAAATGATAGATAGATGGTGCTTTCTCTG